TTATTCCCCCACCCCCAACCAAATTAAAGCCAGTTCAAAGTCCCACCCATAGAAGGACAACTGCAGTCTTTTCTCAAGGTTCTTCAACACTTAACTCAGGAACTTAACTTCTGTCAAAATGGGGAAAACCCTTTTCAAGACATGGTGGTCATCACTGCCTTTGCTCTGGTTTGAAACCAGGTGGCTCTGAAGAAGACTCAGTTTCTCTTGTTCTAAGTTTAGCCACTGAGGCCTTTGCCTTAGCTTCCAAAACATCAGTGATGAGCACTGAGTCCTTGCAGGCTCATAAACGCCTACCCCTGGCCCTGCCATCTCAGGGACGTTGCGTGCGAACAAGCACCAAGACCAGGCACATCACAGAACCCGCAGCACCCTGTTCCTTCCTTTCCTAGTGGGGGGAGGAGGCTGAATCCCCGGCACCTGTTCTCCTCTGGAAGAACCAAGCCTCCAAACCAGGGCCGGCGTCATGGGTGTGTAACCTGTGTAGTTGCACAGGACCCCATGCTTAGAAGCACCACCCCACTTGACTTAATGCTTTGTTGTTGCTATTTTGTAATTCTGAAACCATTTTTAACAAGGGGTCCCACATTTTCCTTTTGAACTGGCCTTTGCAAATTATGTAACCAGTCCTGCTCAAATATGTTATTTATTGTACAATATAACTATGTCATGATACAGTTTAGTTCTCCCCAAAGTTCTAACCAGGGTTGCTAACGCTGTGTCCCACAGGACCAGGCATTGAAGGCGGAATGATTGCAGCAGGTCAGTCAGAGAGCCAGTAGGGGGTGCTGCGACTGTGGTGAGCAGGGAAACAAGACGTGTCCAAAGGGGCAGCCAGTACTTGGCTCTGCTGAGTGTTGTTATGTGGGAATGTGGGCCTAGTGTAGCCAGATCTTCCAATTTTTGAAAGAAAAACTAGAGATGTACTTAACAAAATGAAATCATATTTTAAATATTGGCTCAATTAAAAAAAATACCCTCTGTGTGGGCCAAACAAAACACATCTGCTTGACCATACCTTGGCCACTAGTTTATGACCTTGGCTCTGAATTTCAAAAACAAAAGCATGTTTCTTAGTTTCCATCTCCATTTCTCAACAAATCTGACAACTTTTTTTCTCTCTTCTAGAACACAAAAGTACAACTGACCCTTAAAAAACATGGGTCCACTAATATGTGGGTTTTTTTCCCCCAATAAATAGTCTAAGTGTATTTTCTCTTAAAATTTTCTTAATAATTTTTCTTATCTCTGGTTTACTTTATAATAAGAATACTGTATATACTATATATAATATACAAAATATGTGTTAATCTACTCTTTATGTTATTGGTAAGGTTTCCAGTCAACTGTAGGCTATAAGTATTTAAGTTTTGGGGGAAGTCAAGTTATATTCAAATTTTCTATTGTGCAGGGGGTTGACGCCCCTAACTCTTGCACTGTTCAAGAGTCAACTGTAGTTAACTCATCGGTGATATGGAGAAATGGAGAATCCAGGCCTTAGGAATAAAAATGCTTATCTTTGTCCTAGGGGAAGAAAACAAATTTTTCTTTTATTTTGGGTAGATCAACAACAATGAAAATAAACCACAAGGTATTTATCAATAAGATCTTACATATTAAATTATTTCTATATTGCCCATTTGCAGTTATTAATATTTTTGATCAGGCATGTGGATTGAACATAAAATTAATAACATAAAAATATTCAGGGATGCTAAGGAATGAGTGGGATTCAATATCTCTTTGGTTTAATGGACAGCAACTGGTTTCCTTTCTCTACTAACCTAAGAGGTCCTGTTACCCCAGGTAAAGGGATTAGGAGGCAACCCTCTCTTCCAGATTTCGTGCATATACTCAGGTTATAGAGCTTTGGAATGCATAGGTCCCTCGGGGACCAGTTTAAATGAGTGCAAGGAAGTCAGTGAATTATGAACCCTTTACAGGTATTTCCAAACAGCAGAATGCATAGTTATTCCACCACAGGATGCTCTTTCCCAACCCCACCCCAACACTTTTCCTACAGTTCCTATGTGTGTTGGAATGTACGTATGTTTCTCTTCTTTCCATCTACCTGTGCTGCAGGTTTTCCATATTCTATTCATTAAATTAGAAGAAATGTTCCAGACAGTCTAAGACTATAAGATATTTTTTCCTGGCCAAATTCCCTTCTGGCAGAACTGCTGTATATCTTAGTGTATAGGAATGTGCACTGCACAGATTCACGGAGTGTCATTCACATTGTCGTTGCTGGAGAACATCCCTTCCTGGAGTTGTGCAGAGTTCAATTTACACAGCTGTACCTGTTGCCATTTCCTGGCGGCTCCCTTAGACCCAAGGTCAAGGACAATGACCTAACTAATTAATATTTTGGAAGCTCCTGCTTAGCCTTCTATAATGTGTACAAAGTCTGTGACATAGGTATATTGCAACATCTAGTCATGTTACTTTTGTATGTAAAAAATCTTTAATTCCTCTTCAGTGCCTTCAGAATTAAGTCCATTACCAGTGGATTCTAAAAGTGTTGGTCTAATTTTATCAGAATCACTTGAATGAGTTGTTTAAAATATAAAGATTCCTTGACTCCAGATTGAAGATTCTGGCCTATTGGGTAGGACCTGGGAGACTGTTTCTGAATGCAGCCCCATGCCCCAGCCTACCCTGGGTAATCCTGATGCTCAGCCCTGCGGAGGAAGCACCTCTACCTCCACCCTGGGCTATTCGGCCTCCCCACTGGGCCCCAACCAGCTTATTTGACACCACATGCTGTATTTCAGTTTTTCTGGAATACTGTATTCACTTCACTGAATACACCATGCTGTTTGGTATATTAATTATGTTACCCATTCCGTCTGTCTGCAAGCTTTTCTTAGATTTCTCTGTCAAGTTAATTTGTCTCTGGTTCTTTTTTTTTTTTTTAATCCTCACCCGAGGATATTTTTCCATTTTTTGTACAGATAGAATGGGAGGGAGAGAGAGGAAGGGAGAGAGAGAGAGAAACATCGACGTGAAGGGACACATCGAGTGGCTGCCACCCGCACGACCAACCAGGGCTGGGGACAAACTGCAACCGAAGTACATGCCCTTAGCGGGAACCGAACCCGGGTCTCTCCGGACCGCAGGCCGACGCTCTAACCGCTGAGCCAAACTGGCCAGGGCTGTCTCTGGTTCTTTAAGACCTAAAAGGTACAGTACCTCCTCACACCGGACTTCTGGCACTCCCTCACTTGGAATCCATCACTCTCGTGTCGAGGTTCCTACACCAGTGTGCATCATAGCAGTGGTCCCCAAAAGTTCTTCATTCGATACTGCCCCAAAAGAATTTTCAAAACTATGTACTTAATATCATAAATGTATTTGCATGTTTACATCACGAGTTTAAATACCAATATTATTTCTAGCATATTAGAACACCATCTCTTTCAAATAAATGTATCTTGTTTTAAAGGCAAAAAAGAGAGTTCAGAGCTATGACAGAAAAAAAAAAATCTCAGAGCTGTCTGGACATTATTTAAAATTTTATTTAGGGGATAATAGATGTCTATGAAGTCAATGTAATTTAAAAATGAGTACAAAATGGTATGTCAGAAGGGAAACACTGAGGAAAATCTAAATATAATTTATATAAAGAGTTAAGCGAATTATAAAAATGTTAGGAAATGACCAAATCACAACTCAATATTTACTACCTTATATAATGTATCTTATTTGACGTCCTGGTATTTTCTTCTTGTAATTTATTAGTTCTTCACTAGTAATTTACTTTTTATTTTTAATCCTCACCCGCGGATATTTTTCCATTTATTTTCAGACAGAGTGGGAAGGAGAGAGAAACATCAGCGTGAGAGACACACTGGTTGCCTCCCACAAAACTCCGACCAGGGCTGGGGACGAGCCGCAACCGAGGTGTGTGCCCCTGACTGAAATCGAACCCACGACTCCTTGGTCCGAGGGCTGATGCTCTAACCGCTCAACCAAACTGGCCAAGGCACTAGTAATTTACTTTTAAATACAGAATTTTTATAATTTGATATATTCTGAAAATCTAGTGTGAAAGCATCCTCATTTTAAAATGAAACTGGGATGGCAAATAGTAACAGAATGCAAAACGATCTGTTCTCTACTGCTTTCTCACTTCTATCTAACTGGAGCCTGTGAACACCCCCACAGTAAATTTGGCAGGTACCACAATCACTATCATAAAGAAACGGAAACCCTCGGAAAGGAAGTGATTTGCTCAAGGACGTCCAGCTTCTGTGCAGCAGTCAGAACGCAATCCCAGGCTTCGGATTCCTTGCAGTTTTCCACAGCACATTCGCCCCATTGAGATCCCTGAGTCTTAGGTTATCACTTCTGAAGAGGCTCAGTGAAAAACCATTCTGTTTTATGAAAACTGTGCCAGTGGCAAGCTCTGATTTGTGAGAAATAAAGGGGAAAGACAGGTCAGATATTTTGTCCCGAACAAAAAGGGTATCAGTTATTTTATCCACAAGGTCAAAGAAAGGAAAAAATGTGTCCTTGGATTCCATGGCAATAGGCAAACTCTGATACGCCTTTAAAGGCTGAAGATTTCAAAGTTAAAAATAAGTATAATGCTGCCCTGGCTGGTTTGGCTCCGTGGTTAGAGCATTGGCCTGTGCACCAGTAAGTTGTGGGTTCAATTCTGGCCAAAGGCACATACCTCAGTTGCAGTTTGTTCCTGGCCCTGGTTGGGGTTGTGCGGGAGGCAACCAGTCAATGTGTCCCTCTCACTTCGATGTTTCTCTCTCTCCCTTTCTCTACCTCCCACTCTATCTGAAAGTAAATGGAAAAATACCCTCGGGTGAGGATTAAAAAATAAAAATAAAATATGATTTTTCTTCAAATATTCCTAATGTATTATAGTTTCTTGTTTTGCAGAAGTAGAAATTAAAACTTACAAAAAAGAGATGCGTTAAATACAATTTTATTTTTGTAATGAACTTGTGGGATTTAAAAGATGATACTTAATGAGCAAACATATACAGCTATTTAAAAAAGGCATCTATGTTTATAAGATAGGTATCTCTAAAATAGAGAAAAATTAAATCTTGCTTTTCTGAATGTCTGATACACTCAACAAACTAAAATACTCTTATGAAGAGCAGCTTTATAATAATTAGTAACATTATTCTACCAAAAACAGTTTAGAACCAAATCTTAGTAATAATCTTCAGGGAAGATAGTAACGCCGATTCCCGGATCATCATCGTTTTCAAGTTCTTTATAATTTTCTTTAGTAACACACTCGCCACGTGTTTTCTCTCGGCTTCTTTTCTTCTTACGAGAACAGGAATGATTCTTCTCGATGATTTTCTCTTTGGGATGTAAGCCAGTAACAGTGTCTCTTTCCAAAGCACGTTGTAGGCAGTTATAAAACCTGTAAAGAAATAAGTACTATTACTATCAGTGTACCCTGAATGACTGAAATGTACCTAGAACTTATCAATTATGTAAATTTGATGTCTCATATTAACCTTGAAATATGAAATGAATCAAAGAAATAATATGCTTCTTGCTTTTATTATTGTTTAATTAGGGAAACTAATGTGTTTTCAGCTCTTTACCAGTCTTGAAAATTGGGTTGGAATCACCTCTTGTCAATTTCCATTCTGCCTCAATTTCTATTCCACTTATAGGTGTCAAATAAAGAAGGTAAAAACAATTTTTTTCTTTAAAAAAGTCATACATGTAATACATGAAGTTACAAATACAGATCCTCTATATATAAACTACCTAGAAATCGCCACTCTCAATATATCTATATTTTTAATTGTTTATAACTTTTAAAAAAATTTGTTTTATTGTTGAGTATTACAGATGTCCCTGTTTCCCCCCCAGTCCCATTCACTCTCAATATTTATTCTTTCCAGTTTACCAGTGTATTCTGAATTAATATATTTACACATGCACACATATACCTACTGTCTTTTACACAATTGGGATATTACATATAAAGTTTTTCAAATTTAATGCTTCTTGAAAACATTTTCTATATCATCAAAATAATGCTTTTTAATGGTAGTATAACATTATGTCATCTACATTGGTCTTAACTTATTTTCATATTTTCCCTAATACAAACAACAATGTGACAAACATTTTTTAAAATAAAGTGATCTGAATTTCTAGCTTTCTTTAGAATAGACACCTAGAAATGTAATTACAGAGTTAAAAGTATAAACATTTTGCCCTGGCCATTTTGGCTCAGTGGTTAGAGTGTTGGCCCTCAGACCAGAGAGTCCGGGGTTTGGTTCCTGCTAAGGGCATGTACCTCGGCTGCAGTTTGTCCCCGGCCCTGGATGGGGTCGTGTGGGTGGCAACCAGTCAATGTGTCTCTCTCGCATGGATGTTTCTCTCTGTCTCTCTCCCTCCGGCTCTATCTGAAGATAAATGCAAAAATGTCCTTGGGTGAGGATAAAAGGAAAAAAAGTATAAACATTTCAAGGTTCTTGGGAAATAGTTTTCCAGAATGGATGTTTAAAATCTATGCTTCTGAGAGCAATGTCCGAGAGACCACTTCACCCATATAGTGAATATCACCATAAAAAACATGCTTTACTTAGGTGACAACCGTACCATTATTTCAGTTTCATGTCTTTGTTGGCAAGTGAAATCGAATGTTTTGCATTAGCTATTTAATTTTTTTCTAAATGTGAATTGTTCTTTTTCTTTACTCATTTTTCTACTGGAATGTCAGTGTTAATTTGTGATACAATGAGCTGTTTTCTCCCTGAAAACTGGGCTACATTCCCTTCCCCGCACACTCACCGCTGACCAGACCCTGCCTGACACGGCCCTCGGCTGGTGCCGGCCGAGCGTGTGGGCGCTGCCTGTGCTCCAGAGCAGCGGTGTCCTGGGAGCGCGGAGTCGGCCAGTTCCGACCTCCGACCCAAGCCTTCATTTATAACAGTGGGTCTTCTCCTGTCCCTAGCAGGGCTGTCAGAGGGTGTGGGTGATGTAAGCACCTAGCACAGAGCCTGACACAGAACAAGTTCTCTATAAAGACTACTTTTATAGATTATAAACTCCATGAGACCAAGGCCCCCAGGGATCCTGTTTTCTGTCACAGTCTGAGCATGCAGTACAATGCTGACACACTTGGTAAAAATATGCCAAATAAGTGATTAAATAACTACTGAGCAAAAAAGGTCGCTTTTTAGAAATTATTCGCTCAGGTCCCAAATGAGAATGATTGGGAGGTTGAAAACTCTTGTTTCTCGCATCTCAACCGAGAGATCTACTGTAGGGACCTCATCATGCTTATATATCCTATTCTAATGGGAAACTATGCCAGGAAATTTTTTCTTTATTGATATGAGAGAGAGGAAGGGAGAGGGAGAGAGAGATAGAAACATCGATGAGAGAGAACACTGACTGGCCGCCTGACAGAAAATAGATTTCTACTTGAACCAATTTTCTTCTTTCTTTAATTTAACGAACAGGCTTAGTTCTACATGCAAAGGCTCTAAAACTCCCCCTAAAAACGCAAGGTATTCACCTGTTCCCAAATACTTCACACAGTTCAATTCATAACATGATTACTACACATCCTCTCCATAATTTAAGAATTTACATACTCACCACTCTGTATCTTGATATTCAGCTCTATGCTTGACATATACAAGGTGCTCACAGATATTTCTTTAATGAATAAATCGGTCTCAGTGAGGGAAGTACAATAAAAGGGAAAACTGTACAGTAAGAGGTACAAGCAAAGGCTCTGAAAAATATTAACTGACATACAATCTTTCAGATCCTCTTCCTCTAATGCTCCCTGTACATCCTCACTCGACTGAAACTGGGCGCTCCCACAAAGACACCACCTGCCCTGCATCCGCTAACGTGGACACTGCTTATCCTTTCCACGTCCCACCTACCAGAGCTGAGATGCGGTCAGAATTCAACGGGCTCACCAAGACTTTGCCAAGACTAAACCGCACCTGGCCTCATGTCATCTACCAAAATTCTGTTCCGTCCCTTATATTTAGGAAAACTTCTACACTTGGTTTGCTCTCTCTCTGGGTCTTACCATCATCTTCCAAACTGCCTGTGTAGAGTGGCTTAATAAAATGACCCAAGAGAATGACTCATTTTATCTAAAATATGAATCCAAGCATGCCACAAAATGGTGTGAAGCACCCTGATAAGAGACTATCCATGACATGCAACTTCGTCTTCTAGCTTTCTCCATCCAACCCTGTACTTTGGACTCAGGTAATCAAGTCTTTTTTTTTTTTTTTTTTTTCCCTAGATTGCATCCTATTCCTAGAAGATCACAGATAAGATTAAATCGTTCTTTTATGATCACAGAGAATTAACGTGTGTGTAAAATACCTTGCCAACCACACACATGCAGAGGTAATTAAAGAGGAACATGGGCCTTACTTTAATCCTCCACTAAAGAACCTAAGAAGTCAAAGCTACATGCTTGCTGTACCACAAAAAAACTGGTAAATGGAACAAAGACCCCTTTGTGCTAAAAGCCAAGAACTAAAACTTCAAATACTTTCTCCTTTTCCTTTTGTAAGGGAACGTCTAAAAAGTCCTTTGGGAAACTACCTTAGACATTAAGTCAGAAAGTTGTTTTCCAAGTGCACGTTCTCCCCTCAGTCTGCGACCCTTGCACGGCTTCCTGCAGACAGCTTTCAGCGTCATCTCAGCTCCCACGGACAAGAGCTTGGGACAGCAAGAGCTTGGGGACAGCAAGCAATGTGTACTCAGGCAACTGCTTCTTTCCTCCCCTCAACAGAAAATCAAATGGCTCTCAGTTTTTCTATCTCTGCAGCCAAGATGATCGTGCCACAGGGCAACTTGTACTCAGTTCTCTTCGTGAGAGAACCTTTTAGTCCAGTGCTGTGAAAACGAATTCTCGTTTGTTAGGTCAGTTACAGGACTTGCAATAAAAAGCTGATATTTCTTTGACTTCTGAAATAGGAAGGAAAAAAATTAATGAAATATAGGCACAATTTCATACCCTTTTAGGCTTCCATTATTCACAAATAACAAGAAGGTTATTTTCTTTTTCTTTCTTTTTTTCATTTTTTGTTCAGATAGAGGAAGAGAGAGAGAGAAACATTGATGTGAAAGGGACACATCGAGTGGCTGCCACCCACATGACCAACCAGGGTCGGGGACAAACTGCAACCGAAGTACGTGCCCTTAGCGGGAACCGAACCTGGGTTCTCTAGACCGCAGGCTGATGCTCTAACCACTTAGCAAAACTGGCCAGGGCCAAAGAAGGTTATTTTATATATTATAATTTAGATTTCAATTAAGCTCTGTGTTTTTATTTAAAACCACTTATGAGATGGCCTGTCTCAGGTGCTAGAAACAGGTAAGAGGCGTGGTCTGCACCCTCGAGGAGCTCGGGTCTAATGGGAGCTGCAGAGCTGTAAGGACACACTCCACATGCCACGAGAAAAAGAGAGAGAAAGTGGGAGCACACTGGGCACTTTGCTCCAAGTGAGATAATGAAAAGCTCTTTGGGAAAAACCCAGTGTCTGGGCTGAAATGCAAGGATGAATGGAAAGCGGGCTGGGTGATGGGAGAGGAATTATGAGAGGAAAAAATGAGGGGAGGATATCCAGGCAAGTATCAGAATATAAAACATGTATTTTCACTTTACATTATTTACCTTTTGACCTTAAATATACATGGAAATGTGCAAGTTATTTACCCACTTTAGTTCCAGTTTTAAAAATAAGACTAGCAACTCAGAGGAGTCCAAGACATCTGTTATCCTTGACACCTTTTCTTCTACCATTTCTAATCTGCTGCCATTTTGGTTGATATTCTGCAGTGTCCATCACTCCTGTTCATCTTGTTACCCCGGGTCCTGTGACTGTTTAGCTGGGCTGTGTAGGTGGAGCCTACTCCTGGGCAGCCCATGTCTAAGCCTCTCACACGTGTTCCAGAATGATCATCCTGAGGCTCGGAAGCCTTAAAAGCAGCACACTGATGGAAAAAAGTCAGTTAACTAAATTTAAACATTTATCAACCACTATTCTTGTACCAGACACAGAAAATAATGAATAAGAAACCGTCCTTATCTTTGGGGAACTCACTATGTGTTAACTGTTAAGTTCCTTCATTGTTTATGATTAATTCTATAAGCACTGGGTTTCTACTATGAGCTAGACACTAGGTAAGGTTTTAGGATAAGATAGAGAATAAGGTATTTTAAGGTGTGTGTGTGTGTGTGTGTGTGTGTGTCTGTGGTGGGGAGGGAGAAGTCAGTTCTACCTACAATGTGAACACATTGTAGTGGAAAATAAAAAGATATATATGTAATTAAATAACTGGAAGTCAACATGATTCATATTTCTGTTTTGCACTGAGGCATAAATTATGATATTGGTAAATGATAATATGAATCCGAACCAAAGCCGTGGTGGGGTTGAGACTAGGCTGGGAAAGATTGAGAAAAGACTGATGGAATATTTTCATTACATATGTCCATAGGTTATTGGATACATGGGCCCATGACTTGGGAAAGATTTGGAAGATCTACTAGTATATGGGAAGTAGCTGAAGCTATGGGCCAGGGACAGGATCCTGGAGAACAATATTTAACTGACAGGCAGAACAGTAAGAGAAATCCAGAAGAAAGCTAAGAAGGAAGCGAAGCAAGAAGGGAAGCAGGGACGGAACAGAAATTCTCATCAACCGGTGTATGAAAAAAAGCTCAATGTCACTAATTATCAGAGAAATGCAAATCAAAACCAAAATGAGTTATCACCTCATACCCATCAAGATGGCCATTATCAAGAACACACACACACACACACACACACACACACACACACGACAACACGTGTTGAATAAGGATGTTGAGAAAAGGGAATCCTTGCTCATTGCTGCTAGGAATGTAAATGGGTACAGTTCCTGTGGAAAACAGTGCGGTAAGTCTTTAAAAAATTAACTGCAGAATTATCCAAAAGAATTGAAAGCAGGGACTCAAACAGGTATTTGTTCATAGCAGTATTATTCCCAATAGCTGAATGGTTCAACAAAATGTGGTATATAAATACAATGGAATATTACTCAGCCTTAAAAAGAAATAGAATTCTGATATATGCTCCAACGTGGATGGACGAACCTTAAAGATATTATGCTGAATGAAATAAGCCAGACACAAAAGGAAAAATATATAATTCCACCTTTATGAGCTACCTAGAATTGTCAAATTCACAGAGAATAAAAATAGAATAGTGATTACTAGGGGCTGGGAGTTTGGGGAATAGGGAATTACTATTTAATGGGTACAGAGTTTAAATCTGGGATGATGAAAAGGTTCTGGAGATAGTGGTGATGGTGGTGGTTACCTAACAATGTGATTGTACTCAATGCCACTGAACTATACACTAAAAAATGCTTAAAATGGTAAATTTTGTTATGTTTAACCACAAAAAAAGTTAAAACTAAATAATAACAACAATAATAATAAAAACAAAACAAAAAGACCCAACTACTGGAAATATTCATTCACTTTTTCTCTCCGATTTGCTTCATTTTTATCAACAATATTATGTCAATATATTCAGTCCCTTTAGTCTATACTTTACTTAATATTTATTTTCTTATTACACAGTTGGTGAAAAGAACACGGCTACTTTCATTGTACTCATAGCCAAATGGTGGTTTCACCTGACCCAAGGGAGTCCTGATCTCTTACAAGCAAAATCAAAGACAGTCTTCCTCTCTTAATTGGTAAGTAGATCTCCACACTTTACATTTTTCACCTAAAAATCATTATGTATAGAATTATCTTACCCTTTCCATGAAGGGGCTTAGAAATTGGTTTTCACAAACAAGACCTTTTTTTCTATTGAAAATATTACGCTTTGACTTTGATTTTTCACATTTGCAGAAAATTTCTTGTTGTGAAATGTTACTAATGTGGAGCCTGACTTTAAAAAATTCTATTATAGCTATTTTAATTGTGAAACACTGGTCCTCTGACAAACCAATTTTAGTACTCAGTGTCTGATTGCAGAACTCATCACCTCCTGTATTTATTTATTTTTTCCCCTTTTCAACATCAGAAGAAATAACTTTTTCTTGGCACTTGGTTGAAAGTACAGCTGTTGCCAAAGGAGCGCCCTAATTTGTACAGCCTCTCTGAATTCACATGTAATCTTCTAATCAGTACCTTAAGACACTTTACTCTTCTTTAATTTTTCACTGATTTTATATGATGAGCCTGGCTCTCTTGATGGCAGCATGCACACTATAATCTCAAAACATATCTTTGAGTCATGGATTTAAAGCATAATTTGATTTTATAGCTGGTGAACGTGGCTCAATTAACTTCACCAGGTGTAGAGTTACTTGATCGTGGGCTATATTTATAATCTTGTTGAAATTCAAGTAAGGAAACAGAAAAACTGATTTGCTACCTCCTATGTTTTCCCAAACAACCTCACTGGAATACTGTGTAACAAGTGTAGTAACTTCTGGAATGGTACCAATTAAGTCCCCACATCAGCAGCTCAAACTCTAGGCTGGCGGAGTGGCTGGGTTACTTGAAATCATCACTTTATTTAGAATGTTTGTTCAAAGCATTTGGGGCCCTCTTGGTAATCTCTTGGCTTTTTTCAAGCAGTTCTGCTAGAAAATTAAGCCCTAATGCCCTAAGACATCCATTCTGTTTAATAAATTAATTCCTCTCTGCTGTATTTAGAATGGTACAAGTTATATACCATTGTTGGGAGAACTGAGAAATAGTTACTTGAATAATTTTGTGAATCCTGTTGTTCAAATGAGGAACCCTTGCTGAGAAAGCCCTGAATGGTGACACTGGTGTCATTAATGGTTTATCCTATATGTGTTACTGAAGAAAGGTTATCCTATCCTGAGAATCCATGACATGACAGGGCCAGGGCTAATCTTTACACATGTGCTATCGAATGTATACTAAAATTGTTCTTAGAGATAACTATTTCCCCCAGTTAGACATAAGAAACATGAAGCCAAGATTGTTGAGTGAGTTGTGGTAGAATGTGGATTTGAACTCACTTCTGACTCAAGGGCCTGGTCCTACCTCTTTCCACCACGGACAGGCAGCCACTGGCACTTCTGGCTTTGGCTGCTTCACAAAACAATTCTAAGTATCAAAGAATTTTAAGCAGGCAAGTTAAGCAATAGTATTCCTCTGCATTTTAGACAGAATTCTGACAGTGACATGGAGAATGGCTAAGCAGACAGACATAGCAGAAGCATTCTACGGTGAGACAAGCTAATACTGCAGTGGTCTTGAATGAGAAAGTGGCAGTAAGGATGGAAAGAGAAGAATGACTTAAGAGTTCCTTGGGCAGAAACTGACTGGTTAGGAGGTGGCCAAAAGGGTGAGGAGGAGGGAAAGAGGAAATATATACGATATCAAGTTGGCCTTCACCACCTGAATAACTCAGAAATGTACATGTTGTTAATGGTAGGTCCGTGGCATTATGTTTATATAAGGAAGACAACATAAGTGACTTCTTCATATCAAAAATTATTCTTAGAAAAAAGATGAAAAAAGAAAGCACTATAAAGAGTTTTATCTACCCTGAGGTGAAATTTTTTTTTTTATCCTCACCTGAGGACATTTTTTGCATTTATCTTCAGATAGAGCGGGAGGGAGTGAGGGAGGAAAAGAGAGAAACATCGATGTGAGAAAAACACATCAAGTGGCTGCCACCCACACGACCCCAACCGGGGCCAGGGACAAACTGCAACTGAGGTACGTGCCCTTAGTGGCAACCGAACCCAGGACTCTCCAGTCCATGGGTTGATGCTCTAACCACTGAGCAAAACTGGCCAGGGCCTGAGGTGAAATTTAAGAACACTAGAAGTATAAGATGTGAACTTGTAGCCATAATCCTTACTACTAGGACAATTCTAGCAAGTCTAGATCTAATCCATATTAAACTCACCAGAGGTGTAAAATATTTATCAGGCTAAAAATTAACCCATCTATTCTCCTCAAAAGAAGATTCTAGGTAGTCTCCAATAGATCACACCAGGGGGCAGTGTGTACCTCTTTGGTGGCTGCCTTCAACTTGATCAGTTCTAGTTCCCTTGGCTATTGGGCTCTCCTACCTCAGTGATTGTTTCTCTCCTTTCTGTCAGTGCTGGCAGTCATGTGTCCTATTCTCCTCCATGGAGCTTGTGCTACACCCACTGCAGTCTGGCTTACTTTCATCTACTATCTTGAACACCTTTTATTATTCATAATAATAAGACTACAAATAGAAAAGCAGTTGGAAGTATAAACTGAAGATGGTGTATATTAATATTTTCAAAGATGAATGTACCTTTCAATTCTCTTCTTGTTTTCCTCCATTTTTTGATTTGCTATCTCTAGTAGGAAGTCGATGTATTCCTCTGTCACCATCAGTTTTCCCTTACGGCTTAATGGAACTTCTAAGCCATGTGTGCTCCGGACAGCCTACAGGGAACAAACAGTTCAGACATGATGACTTCCATGCCAGAGACACTGACAGTAACTAAAGAAAACCTGAGTCAGGGTTGTGTTTAAACAGTTCAATTCAGCATTTAGGTTTGTACTCTGATAGAATTTAGCTAAACACAGTTGGATCAAAGGAGATTAAACAGATTTTCTCATCATATAAAGTCATTTCTAAAGAAAGTCATTCTACACATTGTCTTTCAGAGAAGCAGATAATATCAAAGAATCCAATAACTTTAATAGTTTCAATTTCACTAATGCTTAGAAAGCTTTAATACAGTATTTAAAGAAAATAAATAAATGAAATCTCAACAGAAGCTTCAAGGGAAAATCAAAATGAACTGGATTCCAGAGAGCCTCTTATCACTGCTTGGACAGAGTGTGGCTGTAAGAATAAAACATGCCTGTTCTATCTCCCAAAGTGGCCATTTCCCCAGTGCTTCAGGGCCAATCTCAGTAACCCTGCTGATGAAAAACAACATGATACAAGTAAATCCAAACACTGGATACAGATTAAGAACAACAAAAACTATTATGAGGAATAAAATTAATTCAATGAAACTTTACTGATTATCTGCAATGTAGGCCCTATACAAGGTGTGAAGATACAGATTAATATAACATGGTCCCTTTAAAAGCTGACACTTTAGAACAGGAAATAAGTGAACAAAAAATTATAATCCAAAATAGGTGCGATGACAGGAGAAACACAAACACGACTGTGCACATGCCCTCGAGCACACACACGAACCATTAAGGAAGTGTGGAAGAGGTACAACTAGTTGATGGAGACAGGCCTCAGTTGGGGTCATGTGGGAGGCAACCAATTGATGTACCGCTCTTACACTGATATTTTTCTCTCCCCTCCCCTCCCTCCTTCACACTCTATCTAAAAGTCAATGGGCCCTGGCCGGTTTGGCTCAGAGGTTAGAGCGTCTGCCTGCGGTCCAGAGAGACCCGGGTTCGGTTCCCGCTAAGGGCATGTATCTCGGTTGCAGTTTGTCCCCGGCCCTGGTTGGTCGTGCGGGTGGCAGCCACTCGATGTGTCCCTTTCACATCGATGTTTCCCTCTCTCCCTCTTCCTCTCTCTCCCTCCTCTATCTGTACAAAAAATGGAAAAATGTCCTCGGATGAGGATTAAAAAAAAAAAAAAAAAAGTCAATGGAAAAACATTCTCGGGTGAGGATTAAAAAAAAGTGGAGGAGAACACAGTGTTATAAAATAAGACCTCAAATGTACTTCTGATATCTCTGGACTGTGCCCTATAAGGAAAGAATAAATCACTGAAGGTTTCTGAGCAAGGGAATGGCAAGAAGACCAAAGTTAGCAGAGACTAAAGGTAGGAACAGCTTTTTGCCAAAAGGTACCTTACCAACATAGTCTTTCCTCTCTTTCCCACTGTTATGCCAGAGTTCCTGAAACCAGAATCTATCGCCACTGAATGCTGCAAGAAAAGAAATTTGTTAAATTCTGAGAATCTGCCTAATCAGATAAACTGTTAAATTCTACAAGCTGCAAAAACATAGGTAACCCCAAACCTCTAATTAATTAAAAACTGCTTGATTAAGCAACCACATTAAATTTTGGTAGGAGTTTTAAGGCTTAGAATGAAATCTACACACACACCTATAACTTCAAGAATAATTATGAAGTTTTACCAGGAGCTGTGCATCCCGCAGCTGCTGGCACTGCACGTGAAGAACGAGGGGTTCAAATTTCAAGACGGCATCACCATGTGCTTTTTTCAGAGCCACAATCTAAACAAGTGAAAAATATTAATATCAGACACAAATGTATGATCCTCTTCCTTGGTGATCTATTATACATGACGTCAGTTGTTCCTAGGAATTTTTAGACTCCTTCAGCATCCTTTTCCCAAAATAAGTTTTCACTCTGCTTTCTTGTTTTTTTCCTTCAAAAACTTATTAATCTGCTTATTCTTTTAAAAGACCTAATTTCTAATTTTGTATATACCTCCTGTGTCATTCTTTCCAAACATATATTTAAAAAGTAAACTACTACTATATTTAATTCCATAGCAGATTACTGGAAGGTCTGTTTAAATAGTTCACTGTTAGATGGAGGTTTGAGACACACGTACTATTATGTCTAAGCTAGAATTTATATAAGGCAGTTATTATTTCCGTGTGGCTAATATCCCCGGGCAGCATCCTCCCCCCTTCACACCATTTCATTCTCATGAGACTGTTAGTCATGGCCCTATCTTTCATCACTCCCACTATCATACTATCAGAGATGCCAAGTGCCTAGGTCTAATCAAGGACAGCATTCCATTCTACTGGCAAAAATCACTGCTCTCAGGGGGAGGACAGCTAACTCAAGCAGGATGGTTCAGAGGCCTTCTCTGGGAATGATATACGGATCTTCATAAGAAATCTTTGCCTTCTGGGGTTGCTGGTAGCTAACGTTCCTGCCACAAAGATAATCTGCAGCAGAAGGGAATAAGGGCAAATATGCAGAGAACTAGCACCCAAGAAAGGGGACTGGAGGTTGAATGAGCACCCTGAAGACAACATTTGAGCACCTGAACCAGTAATGTATGTATTTAACAATTCCAAACTTACATGAACTCATTTAAACATTTCAATTTAGGAAACTAAATAATCCAGCACAGAGATAAAGATGTTCAAGAAGCAATCCAGGTAAGTAACATATAATTGATTTACATCAGTATGCTGGTAATAGTCTAATGCCTTACTCTCGCTCACTTCCTCCCCTTTCCTTATAATTTGTACCAGGGTGCAGAGTAATAAAATGGCAGAAATGAAATTCAGTCTTTGGATCCAATACGTGTCCAATGTTCATGAATTCTCTGCTATGTCCAATAGGATGTGATTTGTTGAACAGCCGTAGTAATGCTTGCGTAGATAGTTTTACTTTTATCTCCTACAACTCAAAAAAGCATCATCATAAGTTCTCTTTAGGCTTTATGAATAATCTTCAGTCATTATAATTATGCACATAAGTGACCTTAAATTTTCTATTTTCATCTGTATTTAAAGTGACTGTGAATTAAAAAGTTTATTATTTAAATATACATATAAAAACTTACCAGATCATCTTTTACACAAGGTTTATGTGTAACTAGTAGCCAGTAACAGTTTTGTTTATGAACTTCAAAGCCATTTATACTCTAAAATGAGAAATAACATAATTTAATTTAATCAAATATTTACAAAATATTAAGTACAATGCATAACATGTTGTAGGTTTTCTTAAATTAGTAATCCCAAGTGGTGATTTTTAAACATTATTGAGAACAACTCAATAGCCTTTTAGGTAAAGTTAACCAAAAAAAAAAAAAGAAATCAATTACTTGAAACAGAAGGAAAAGTACCATATGATTTCACTTATATGTGGAACCTAAAGAACAAAATAAACAAACATACATAATTGAAACAGACTTATAGACACAGACAGTGGACTGGTGGTTGTCAGAGGGGAGAGGGGTTGAGAGACTGAGTAAAAGAGGTAACAGGATTAAGAAGTACAAATTGCTAGTTACAAAATATTCACAGGAATGTAAAGTACAGCATAGAGAATATAGTCAATAACACTGTGATAACTATGTATGGTGCCAGATGGGTACTGAAAATATCAGGAGGATCACTTTGTAAAGTATATGATTGTCTCACCACTATGCTATATACCTGAAACCAATACAAAATAATACTGAAAGTAAACTACAATTGAACAATAAATAAATAAAATTTAAATGTATCTATCAAAGTAAAAGAACTTAATAAAATATTTTCTGAAATACAGTCATGTGTCAGGAGAAATGGGATTATTCAAGGGGTTGTATACTAGCAGGCCCTGAGTTGTCCTCCAGCTGTTCTACTTAGCCAGGAATTACTAACACCCCCCCACGCTCCCCCACAAAGAATCTGAATTACTTTTGTGGGAAAGCACTGCTGTTACAATCCCTACCACTTCTTACTGTCACCTGAGCTGTTCACACCCTTCTACTATATCCCTAGTCTCTACATATATTTGTGACCTCTTTATTTAGATGTAGTCCCAAAGGGCAAAGCTAGAACTAAAAGGTCAAAGCTTCAAGATGGCAAATATTTAACGTAAGATTCTTTGTTTATTAACTGGAAAAACTGTTTATTTGCAAAGTTCTATTAGGTACTTTGGATATAAATGGATCCTTCCCTCAAGGATACTGGAAAGAAGGTGCGGAAACCATATGCATTTTTAAATCACTGAACTTCTACAAAGTAACTATTTATACAATGGGTACACAGGACACTTTGCTCTCTGGCCTTGGTAATGGGAAGAGCTGAGCTTATCTAAATAACTGGTTTGTTTTCATTCAATCACCTTAGGGACTTTTTTTTTATCCTCACCAGAGGACATTTTTGCACCTATCTTCAGATAGAGCAGGAGGGAGAGAGAGAGGACGCGCGAGAGAGAAATATCTATGTGACTGCCACATCGAGTGGTTGCCACCCACATGACCCCAACCTGGCCGGGGACAAGCTGCAACCGAGGTACGTGCTCTTAGCAGAAACCAAACCCGGGACTCTCTGGTCCGTGGGCCGACGCTCCAACTGCTGAGCCAAACTGGCCAGGGCCACCTTAAGTGACTTTTGTAACTGATTTTATGCTCTGGCTGCTCTAAAATGTAGAGCCAAATGTATGGCCCACCTGTAGCAAATTTAAATAATCTAGTGGTATGTTTTAGGAATTAACGTCATCACTAACCAGGGGTGGGGAACCTTTTTTCTGCCAAAGGCCATTTGGAATTTTTAACATCATTTGCAGACCATACAAAATTATCAACTTAAAAATTAGCCTGCTATATTTGGTCAGGCAAATTTGGTGATGTGCATCATGTTAGCTGGTATTGATTTTGCAGGTCTTATATGGTCCGTGGGCCGGACATTCCTCACCCCTGGATATTCCCATTAATTTTTCTTCTTGTATTGCCTTTTTCTAAGTTAATCCAAATCCTTCCTGAAATGAGGCAAATTGAAAATAAATATAATACTGATATAAAATAATAGATTCAATGAAAAATCCTAAGGCAGTTCAGAAGAAGCAGTTATTACTTCTAAGTATGTATCTGTAGTGTTCTGGTGGGAGAGGAGAGTTTGAGGAGTCATGTCTTAGATAAGCAGAGATGAGGGAAAACATTTCAGGAAAAATAAACATGAGCAGAGACAAAGGCAGGTAAATATAAGATAAAAAAGAATATTTCACTTCCAGTAAATAGATAATAAAGAGAAGGAGCACAAAATACGGTTGACAGGTATACTAGAGTTGGAGTTTGGATTTTCTGATGTTGAAAAAATGTACAATAAAAGATTTCCCCCTAGATGAGTGACATCGACACAAGGGTTGTGCTTTAGAAAGGTGAATCTATTAACAGCGTGTAACATAGTTTGGTTTACAGCAACTGGTAGTTTAGTAACCTGTTAGGAAACCACTGCAGAAATCCACATAAGGTAAGGCAGTAGAAATGGGGGAAGAGAGACAGCAAGGCCAGCAAGACTGCCAGTGCTCAGAAGGCAATGGAAGCAATATAAAAATGAACAGGCCCTGCTGACCTGGGAGATCAGTGAGAGATCTGAAGAGCTTGAGTGTGCCATCTTTCATGCTCTGAATTCAGAACTAATGCTAAAATTAAAACACAGCTAACATTTGCCCTGGCCAGTGTGACTGGAGCATACATTGGTACACCAAAAGGTAGTGGATTCGATTCCCAGTCAGGGCACATATTCAGGTTTCAGGTTTGATCCCCCCTTCAGGGGAGTGCAGGAGGCATCAGATTGATGTTTCTCTCTCTGTCTCTCCCTTCCCCTTTCTAAAAATCAAATACAATTAAAAAAAAAAATTTAAAACACAGCTAACTTTTACCTCACTCCTTATATGGGCCAGGCACAGCACTAAAATATTTAAAATAAATGATCCCATTTTATCTACACCAGCGATTTATTTTTTTTTCTTTATTAATTTTTAGAGAGAGAGGAAGGGAGAAGGAGAGAGAGATGGAAACAAAGATGAGAGAGAATATCGACTGGCCACATCCTGCATGTCCCCCTCTCAGGATTGGCGCCCTGACTGGGAATGGAATCTGCCGCCTCTTGGTGCCTGAGTCGATACTCACTGAGCCACACCAGCGGGGCTACACAGCGATTTTTTAAACCTTTATCATCGCATGGCACATGTAAACTACTAAAATTCTGTAGCATAGCAAAAAAAAAACCAAAACAAAATTTCGCCGATCTGAAAATAAAAGGTATAATTTTGATACATTCACACTGGACCGTTCTTGTGTTGGCTGTTGTCTCTTTTATTTGACCATCTAAGGGAAAAGGGGTCAGTAAATAGTTAGATACTGCAAGTTTTAGAAATTCTTTTGGCGCGCCAATGTGCCTGCTGCTGCACACTGGTTGAAAGTCATTGCTCTACACAAAATCCCTATGGAGCTGATATTCTTCATCCTCAGTTCATGAAACAGGGAGGCCATGAGCTTAGATAACTTTCCTCAAGTCCCATAGTTAATAATTCCCATAACTGGGTTGCAATCTATGCGGTATCACTCCAAAGCCTGAGGGCTTGACCACTACTATCTCACACTACATACTGCAGTACTGCACATACTTTCTCAGCCTGACGTCAAACTATAGGAGCTGTGACCTGGCCCGTTTGGCTCAGCGGTTAGAGCCTCCGCCTGCGGTCTGGAGAGATCCAGGTTCGTTCCGCTAAGGGCACATACCTCAGTTGCAGTTTGTCCCCGCCCCTGGTTGGGTCGTGGGGGTGGCAGCCACTCGATGTGTCCCTTTCACGTTGATGTCTCTCTCTCTCTCCCTCCCTCCCTCCCTCCCTCCCTCCCACTCTGTCTGAACAAAAAATGGAAAAATGTCCTCGGGTGAGGATTTAAAAAAAAAAAAATCCATAGGAAATGTGGGCCGCTAGGAGGTAGTGAACACCTTAACCCTGACGAAGTTCAGACAGGTAGTTAGGATTGGTAGAGCGCTGGAAGAGAAGCCACAGCTTCACCAGGCTGAAAAATCTTTAAATTCCCTCAGTATTTGGAAAATCAAATTCTTTAGCCTTTGCAACTCGAGACCATTCCCAGGCAGGCAGCTTGGGCATCCTGCTGGGGTTTGTTAGAAATGCAGAATATCGGGCCCCACACTAGACCTACAGAATCAGAACCTGTATCTCTTATTCTTTCAAATTTGTCTTTATTGTTTAAAGTATAACAGATGTCCCTCCTCTTTCCCCTCATTGATCCCCCCCCCACACACACACTTCACCGCACTACTGTCTGTGTTCATGGGTTATGCATATATGCATATAAGTTTTTCGGTTAATCCCCCGTCCCCCCTCATCCCCACCCCGCCTCCCTACTTTAAATAAAAGATCTGGTTAACAGACAATTAAAGTTTTAAGAGCACGGGTCTAGTTCACCCTCTAAATTTCATAAAGAAACCGAGACCACCCACCAGAAGGACAAACACAAACGGGCTGCACTGGGGTGTTGCACTGGGTGGGCACAGGGCTCCTGGTGTTCCCCCCACAAGGAAGGCACTGGGAGGGCACAAAGGAGGCTCACCCCATCCAGGAGGATGATGCGGCCAGAGCAGGAACTGGTGGTAAAAAACTGCTCTCGCCCATTCAGGAGCTGCACAAGCTCAGCCACATCCTCGTCCACACTGCCCTTCCGGCTGAGGTCTGCTTTGCCCAGACACTGCGCCTTCCATCGCGGGAACTCTGCGCTTCGATCCATGCCGAGAGGGACTGGCGTCGGTCCTGGCACGTTAGCTCCCGCCTCCCCTGGGGGCAGCCATCTTGCAGGAGTGGTGCCGAGAAAGGCCAAACTTCCTCGTCGTTACCAACTCGCGAGAGTCTCTGGCCGTCGGCCGGGGCGGGGAGAGGCGGAGCCAGCAAGGTTGACGACGGCCAGGCCCGCCCCCTTCTGCTGTGGACCAGGTGGGGAGCCCTCGCAGAATTTGTTCCTCACTGTACAGCCGGTAAGTGGTTTTAAACAGCCGCCCAGATGTTCAGGCCTCGTCTGGTGTGTCTGCGGTTCCTGTAACTGCAGGGGTCCCGGAGCTCTTTCTGCTCGACCTTCCTCCTGTTTTCCCATCCGATTTGCCAACTAACTTTTGAAGAGAAATGTGTAGTTTTTTGTTTATTTGTTTTGTTTTCTTTTACTTTTCCCTCCAATCGCCCCCACCGAGAATAATTTTGAAAGGGGAAAAAAAAAGTAATTTTAACACGGTTGGATGTTGACACAGTTCCTCCAGGACAAGGGAAGGTGTGTTAATGAGTGAACCATTTAAAGGCTGAAGTTTGGCCCGTTGGTGTGGCTCCGTGGATTGTGAACTGAGTCTGCTCGGGGCACATGCCCGGGATGCAGGCTGGGTCCCCAGTAGGGGGCGTGCAGGAGGCAGCTGATGGATGTTTCTCTCACATCAGTGTTTCTATCTCCCTTCCTTTCTCTCTAAAAAAATAAATAAAAACATTAAAAACAACAAAAACAAATAAAGACTGAAGTTTGGACTGTTTGGCCGCCCTAGTGGAAAGGCTGTGTGAATGCCTGGTCAGCCGCAGCAAATCCCAGCGCGCTCTGCTCCCCAACACTGGAGAACAGGTTGCCCAGTTCCATCCAACCTTTGCCTCAGAGAACCTGGAGGGGTTTAGAATGACCTGGTCAATTACTCTGTCTCCCCCTCTCTTATCACAAGTGGGCACTGAGATCCCCACCAGCAAGCAACCTGCTGGGGTCGCACAGCCAGAAAGAGACTTATCCTTGGCCACTTTTAATTTTTTAAATTTCTTCTGGGTTAGGAATAATAAATAACATGCTTACATGAGTCATTCTTGATCCACAGGAGCACATTAAATAAGGATTGATTCTCTTTCCAAGTTTTTATATTTTTTAAATTCTTGCTAAAATTTTTATTTAATTTTACTTTTGCTTTTCTCTCATAAGGTGCCTTTGCTCTGACTTTGTAAATTGATCTGTGCATTTCACATTAATATAGATTTCTAAAATTTTCTCCATCCTTTTAGTTTTTATTCAAACCTAATGGATTCAATCATAGCATGGAAATGATCACTGTTTGAGGAAAAATGTTAAATTCTGAATTTCCTCCCCAGCCAGTGTGGCTCAGTGGATTGAGTGACGTCCCATGGACTGAGAGGTCCTGGTTTGATTCCTGGTCAGGGCACATGCCTGGATTGTGGGCTGGATCCCCAGTAGGGAGAGGAGAGTGTGTGTGTGCAGGAGGCAGCAGATTGATGTTTCTCTCACATCGATGTTTCTACCTCTTTCTCTCTCTAAAAAATCAATAGTAACATATTTAAAAGAAAAACTTTCTGAATTTCTTAGATTTGCAAAGTATGGTTGGCAACCTTTCATAGGTTAAAAAATAAAATAAAAAATTAAAACCAAGGTACTCTTGGTGAAATTTTTACAAGTTTATATTTGATAAACAGAAAAATCTATTTGAAGTACAGCTTAATTAACACACACACACACACGTGAGCAATGTGACAAACCTTCTGACTGCAAATGATTTACTAATAGAATATTATCCTGTATCTCTCTAGTGGATCCTCTAACTTACGGACATTTGAGATATTTCAAATTGTAAGCAGATGCCTTGACCATAAGATACGTAATCCTACTAGGTTAGTTGAATTTCCTATTTCTAACTCAGTCTGTCTCATTATCATCATAATAAAGAACATTTCTAAGAGATGTCTCTGCCAACATTTCAAAGGGTGATATGAAAAGGACTGTATAGTAAGAGAATAAAATCACCCAACACCATTTAGGATGTAGAACTTGGGTTCTAGCTTTGCTTTTGTGTGACCTTTGTGAGTCTCTTAACCTGTTGGAATGTTTTCTCATCCATAAAATTAATGGTGACCTTATTTCCACTTTCGCATACAATTAAGTGGTGGTTTTATTTTATTTTATTTTATTTTTGCATTTGTCTTCAGATAGAGCAGGAGGGAGAAAGGGAGGAAGAGAGAGAGAGAGAGAAACATCGATGAGAGAGAGACACATCGACTGGTTGCCACCCACACAACCCCAACCGGTGCCGGGGACAAACTGCAACCGAGGTACATGCCCTTAGCGGAAACCAAACCCGGGACTCTCTGGTCTGCGGGCTGATGCTCTAACCGCTAAGCCAAATGGCCAGGGCTAAGTGGTGGTTTTAATAACTGTTGTTTCTCTACCTATTGTGAAACTGTATCAATGGATTTGTGAAAGATGTGCTTTTTAGAAGAAATCTGGTATTACAGGGGGCTGAAGAATTATCATAATTCCTATTTGTGTGTTGTGTTATTTTATTCTTTTTTGTTACACCTCCTGACATAGCACCTGCATTCTAAAGCAGATCATGACCCTGTGGGTAGCTGAGGGGGTTCAAAGGCAAGGAGTACAGATTGGAGCCTGATCAATCATAGTGGCAAAAGCTCAGTGGGAAACAAGATCGCCAGAAGCATAGTAGCAGGCAGAGCTGTCAAGGTCATGCCTGTCTCCTTACAGGCGCCACAGGATAATGTGATAGCTTTGGACAAGGCAGGGTATCTTCTAAATCCAGTATTAAGGATGAGTCTCCTCCTTACTTTGTTCTCTTCTCCCAATTTAGCAAATGTCAAAATGTAGGGGGGAAAAAATGTACGTGCTAGATATTTTTGACAGATTCTATTTCAGGGTAATTTTGCTTTTATTATTGCTACAGTTTTTTGGAGGATAATAGTGATGTCTGTTGGTGAAAAGATAAATGCGTGTGCTTGAAAGAAATGAATAGGTAGGAAGTGGGCAGGTACTGTAAGTGAAAAAAGAGCTACAAACCTTACCCAGTATGTGTGTACGTGTGTGAGAGAATGAGGGTGAGCAGGAACTGGGGAGGGGCAAAGGCGTTTTCCCTTCGCCCTTGTATTCTCGGAGTTTAGCACAGTGCCTCCCTACAGTTCATGTTCAGGAAAATATATGTTGAATGAATAACAACCAATATTTGGTATTAATGCTTTGTTTAAATCATTCTCTAGACTGTGAACTCTTAGTGGCTATAAGGACTTGTTTTTATAACCAGAGTCCTGTAAATATTGTTACATTAAATCAAAGATGATTATAGAATTATAGAATCGAGAATATTTTAATGAATGAGATCCTGGAAAGGAGAAACTAAATGGGAAAGGAATAACGGTGCCTTCTATACATAGGCGGAAACATTGGCCAGGTTTGGACTTGATGCTTGCCAGGTCCCTAGCACAGTAACCCTGAGAGGGAGCCCAGTTTTCAGATGAAGCTCAAAAACGCTGACTGCCTTGCCCAAGGCCACATGGCTAGTAAATGACCGGGGTGGGATTCATACCGAGAGCTGTCAGATGTCAAAGCCCACACTTTCCCTAACACCATGCTGAAGACAGAAAGGGGTGGAGGATAGCTGTGTTCTTATTTCCAGAATGGAAAATTCTTATCTAGACATCTTTTTATTTATTTATTTTTTTTTACATTTTTTTCTGTTTTATTTCCTTGATATTTTCAGTTTCTTGTCTAAGGAATGCCCAGCTTTAGTGAAGATGGAAATACAGCAGTGAGGCTGTAGAGTAGTCTCTGCACAGGTTTTCTCAACCTCAGCTGCTGCTTCGTGCCCTACAGTGCTGTTAGGCTCATGCCTTTTGCAGGCTTCGGCCCCCTTTTATTCGAGGGTGCCCTTCAGGATATATCATTGCTAAACAACCTTTCAGCAGTGGAAGTTTTACTTTCTCCTCTGTGTTAGGTACTGTATTAAGTCATTTTAAATAAAGGGTTTTAAAATGACACGGCCTTTGACTAATTATATTTAGAACTTTCCATTAAGAACACCATCAAATTTGATCCCCCTCCATACATGCAATGACATTTTATAGTTAGCATGGACTCTGTTCTGAATAGCCCTGTGTTGAGCTTCAATTCAATTAAAGTCTGAATTCTTTGATCTCAAGTCCTAGTTTCTGCAACTCTTTTTGAAAAGAAAATTCTGAGTTTTCATTTTAATGTTAACAGTGGTTGAACAGAAAGGTTAACCGTAAATTACCCTTAAATTTATAAAAGATGGCATACAAAGCAGTGTTTTTAGTTTTTAACTTACGTGTTTCCTCTTTTGTTAAAGTTAATGAACTTCATAAAGCCAAGTGTTTCAACAGTCTTGATAAATCTCAAAAACTTAATGCTAAGAGGAAAAAGCAAGTTGCAGAATTAAATTTGAAAACATGCAAACACGATAGCGTATATTGCTTGATAATACATTCACATGTAGTAGTGAGATAACATCATGCCTAAGAATGATGAGCACTGAGTTATGGTCATCGTTACCTCATGGAAGGGTGGGACAGAAGTGGGTTTGGGGATGGATCCTGAAGGTTTCAGTTATATCTATAATGTTTTAGGTTTTTAAAATGTTAAAGATTTGTTAAAGGTGGGTGGCAGGTGAATGTGTTTATTATATTCTTTGTATTTCTTTATGTGTTTGAAATAATTAGTAATCTAACAAAAAGAGATTTATCTAATGTTAATAAAACTTACATCAGCTTCTAAATTTTCCAAGATGTTGCAGCCCAAGCTTACACACAAAAGGCACCTACGCTATTCATTGTGCTATACCTATCCAGATGTTTTTGTTTGCGTGTTTGATTCTCTTATTGAAGGCATTGAGTCTCTACAGGAAGTAATGTGAAGTATTTTGCTTTGTTGCTGAAGGATTTGTAGGATGAAAGGTGTTTAAACATGAAATGAGATCAGTGGTAATCTTGTGATTTAAATTGTCATTTGAAAAATTGTTTGATCTGATCCTCCAGGGGGAAAAAACAGTGAATAGCCTAGACACAGTGGGACAATGTATTAATGTTTTTTTCTTCGTCTCTAGATCACTATGGCGACTGGACAGAAGTTGATGAGAGCTATTAGAGTTTTTGAATTTGGTGGACCAGAAGTGCTGAAATTTCAGTCGGATGTTGCAGTACCAGTTCCCAAAGACCATCAGGTGGAAATAATTACTTAAAAACAGGCAATAATCTTAGAGTATGAGTTTCTAGCACATCAAGTTAATATTCAAAAGAAGCAAAGTCACAATGATTTTAAAGACATTGAATTAGGACAAAGTTCACAGTGTTTATATCAATGAGCTCTGACAAAGACAACAATTCTAATAATCTGTGAAGCAGATGTGAGAAAAGGAATAACTTCTTGTTATAAGACTTTTTTGAAGTTCAGAATCATCCGTCCAGTGTAATAGTTGGATTTTTCCGAATGGAGTCATAAGTAGGTTTGAATAATTATTCTATTACAAACTTTTCCGATTTTTATTTTGTGTATGATAGGGAAACAATTTTCTTCTGCATACCCGCTTTTTACATATGATTCAAGAGAATTTAAATGTACAGCTTAATCATTTTCAGTAACTTTAACAATATACTCTTTCAATCAAATTTATGTATTTTTATTACTACACCTTCTCCTGAGTCTAATTTTCTTAGCAAGCCTTATGAGAGTTTGTATAATTTGGCTGTAACTATCTTTATAGATTTATTTCTTATAAATCTTTCTCAGTACATTTTGTTGTAACAACATCAAGCTTTATCCAGTTTCTCCATGAGACCCTGTCCCCTTTCATTCCTTTTGTCTTTGCACATAATAGTCCTTTACCTTGAAATACCAGTTTTCTCTAATTCCCCAAGAATTTCTACTCATTTTTCAAGGCCCAGTGCAAATGCCATATGCTTTGAAATGCCTTCCCTTAGTCTTATAGCAGAAGTAATTCTGTATTAATTAAGGTAAACTAGCTTCTATAGTAGAATAACCTCAAAATCCCAATGAATCAATAATAGAAAATTATTTATTATTCACTAAATTCCAAAATTCTAAAATATTGGTGAATAGCTCTCCTCTAACAGTGAGTTAGGGGCCCAGGCTTTCTCCATCATGTGGCTTTGCCACTTTCAACACTGGTCTTCCGAGGTCCCATGAAAGGACAGAGGCACAGTGCGGATTGCCTAGGAAGGTCTTTATGGCTCAGGCTTTTGTTCACATTCCCTTGGCTAGAACCCAGTCATTTGGCTACTGAAGGAGCCAGGAAACAACATTCTTTCTATGTACCTGGGAGGATGAAACAGATTTAATGAGCACAGATAAATCTCTGCCACACATCCCCTCGAATATTTCCACCACTATTTTCTCAAAATGTTTTTTTTTTTTTAATTTTTAAAAATTTTTTTTATCCTCACCTGAGGACATTTTTTTTTTCCATTTTTTGTTCAGGTAGAGTGGGAGGGAGAGAGAGGAAGAGAGAGAGAGAGAAACATCGATGTGAAGGGACACATTGAGTGGCTGCCACCCGCACGACCAACCAGGGCCGGGGACAAACTGCAACCGAGGTACGCGCCCTTAGTGGGAACCGAACCCGGGTCTTTCTGTACCGCAGGCCGACGCTCCAACCGCTGAGCCCAACCGGCCAGGGCTCAAAATGTTTTTAATATAGCACATAAGCCATTCTGTCTAGATTTTTATTTATATGTGGGTTTGCAGAACTGGAATGTGAGCTCATTGAAGGCCAGGTCTTCCCTTCCATTCTTGTAGCTGCCACAGTCATGACGGCCCTAGCATAATGCCGGAACGCTCTGTGTAAACTAATACGTTGTCATTGCAGGTTCTAATCAAAGTCCATGCCTGTGGTGTAAACCCAGTGGACACATACATTCGCTCTGGTGCTTACAGCAGGAAACCACCCTTACCCTATACTCCTGGTTCTGATGTGGCTGGGGTAATAGAAGCTGTTGGAGACCACGTATCTGCTTTCAAGGTATTACATTTTTAATGATTTCTATTTTAGCTTAATATTTTTCCTGAAAATATTTTAACACAGTTTTAAAATGTGTCTGTATTTAAGTCTTTAAAAGGTCCCATTACACAATTTCTGCCACTTGGGGGACTCCTCTAGTAACAAAAGAAATTACCTTTTATCCAGAGGTCTCGTTTATTTACATTGTTGGAAATAGGTGCAGGGTCGTTTCTGTATCTTCACATCCCCATATCCCCACAAATAAACACTGAACTTTTTGATTGAACAGAAATATGTAAGGAAAGAAAGCAAACAAGAAAATTTTACTGTTTCCTAACCCTTGATAATACACAAACCAACATAATTTAAAATACTTTCTATAGGTTTGATACACAAACCAACATAATTTAAAATACTTTCTATAAGTTTGGCTTCACAAAGTAAAGGGAATGCTATTTTTTTTTTTTTTTTGAATAATAAGTAAAAACGGAAAAATGCAAGGTCACTATACATTTTCTGAGCTCTGACTCAGAGCAAGGTGATGGAGTCAATGAAAATGTTATGATCAAGGCTTTGTTATTTATATGCCATACGACTTTTAAAGCACAGAGTATATTTGTGTTTTAGCATCTTTCCTCATAATTCCTTGACCTGCTCAACTTTGGCCACTCATTTATCCAAAATTGGACTGAGACGGAGAAGATTACTGTGGCCCCTGAAGAGGAAGACAGGCAAATTCCTACAGCTTTCCACGCCTCAGCTTGTGGCAATCTGGCTTCTGCCCCCATCGCTCCACGGAAATGATTCTTGCTAATGTCACTAATGGCATCTATATTGCTGGAGTTAATGGGCCCTTTTATGTCATTATCTCTCTTGACTTTTCTGTGACATTTGACACTCTCAGTCACTTACTTTTTCTTAAAAAAAACTTTTTCTACAGCTTCCGTGACATCATTTTCTCCTGTTCTCCCCCGCCCTTTCTTTCTGGGCATTCTTTTTCAAACCTCTTCTTCTTTGGATGCTCCTCAAATCTTGGCATTGCCCAGTGTTCCAGTCCCTACTTACACCTCCGCTTCTTGTATTGTGTCCTTTCTTCATGATGATCTCATGTACACCCATATTTTCCATTATCACATGGATAGCTTTTGTTTAGAATTTTCTTTTTTAATATAAACATTTCTAATATTTTATTGAGGTAGTATTTTAAGCCCACCAAATATTAATCGCATAAAAGAACGATTTCCTTTCTTACAAAAGGCGCATATTGAATCTTTTAGGTAATGAATATTTTCCTAATGTTTAGATTGTTTTTAAAATTTTGAAATATTATTATTATTATTACTTTGTAGTAGACAAACATTGTTAAACATTTTAAATTACAGTTGACATTCAATATTTTATATTAGGTTCAGCTATATACCATAGTGGTTAGACATTTATATAATTTACAAAATGATCCCTACCTTAAGTCTAGCTGCCAAGCTCTGAACCTGTGGTAGCCATATATAAATAGCTGGTGTCTATTTACAATTCAAATTTAACTTAAATTAAAATAAAAACAATAATTTCCTCAGTCACACTAGTAACATTTCCAGTGCTCACCAGCCCCAAGTGTCTAGCTTTGCTGTTGGCCAGTGCAGGGGTAGAACCTTTTCCTTGTCGCGGAAAGTTGTGATGGAGAGCACGGCACCCCTGTGGTCCACCTCCAGAACTGCTTACTCAGCCTGTCTAAACGGAGCTCGCCTTTTCTCGCTGCAGCTCCGCTCCCCTCGGTTGGCTGTCTTGGTGACTTCTGGGGTTTGAGGCTTCTCTCTTCATTGTTCCTCACTCAGTTCTCCCTTATGAGAACTGTGTTCTCTCTCTTTCCATTCCTAGTCTCTGTAGTTTAGTTTAGGTTGTCCTACATCGGCCCTGACCTGGATTTCTATAATAGACACTTACCTTGACACCCTTCATCTTTCCTCCTTGAATCTGCCCTTGCTCGTAAGGGGTGTTTTCCAAAGTGTAATTCTGATTGTTTTACAGTTAATTCTTGCATTCATTCCGTGTGGATTTCAAGGTATTGTTGAAAGTGCTTATGTTACGAAAGAAGACCATTTTATGCGCTCGCTCTCTCTCTCTCTCTCTCTCTCTCTCTCTCTCTCTCTCCCACCCAGCTTTCCATTCGTATCTCCCATTCTTTCTCTCCCTGTAGTTTAGTAATAACTTTTGATTCTCCCCTGCAGAGCCCACACATGCTCCTTCATCTTTGTGTCTTTGTTCATATTGATTCTTCTGTTTGGCAGAATTAAACTTGAACTTAAACATGGGTTCAAGGGATTTTACACTCCAGCTTTCATATCTTTTTATCTCCTGAAACTATTGCATTCAGTTCATTAGGCCACTTATTCATTGGGAGTGAACGCTGGCTGTTTTTTCTGCCACTATTCCTTTACTTACTTTGTTTCCTTCGCCCATAATGACTCTTCCCAATTCAAGTTTTCAAGTCTTTTCCTATCCTTCAAGACTTACCTCAAATATTATCTTCTCAATGAAGGTATTCTTGATTCTCTCAACTTAGAAATAATTCCTTTCTTTTTCTTGTGTCTATCTTTGATGGCTCATCATGTTTACCTTACTTTGTAATTATTTCTGTGTTATTTATTTCTCTCTCTTCCTGGAGTTTAAGATGCTTGAGATTAAAGAGAATGTCTTGCTGCTAATACCATTCCGAGAACTCGGAGTAATGCTTTCTATATAGTGGATTCTTAGTAAATGTTTGAATTATATGAAAATTAATACACATGTTTTTAAGCTGTGAAAACAGGATTAAAAGTGAACATAGTCATACTTGACCATTTACAGGCGACACTACTAAGCAGCGATGTGTCACTTTACTCCCAGGTGCCTCTTGAATATACCCATGGCACATTGCTGCTACCTTTTCAGATCTCTTAATTACAGAACACATTTAAGCATATTGAGCATTATAGCCTTAATGTTTTGCTTATTCCAAGGAATATATACTTTTTTTTCCAAGGAAGAAGTTAGGGCAGGTGTTCATAGTGAGCAGTCTAATTTCCCTAGTGCGCAGGCCACACTGGGCAGTGCCGTGATGCTTACATAGTGCCGTATTCCACCCTTGTTTATGCTTCTGCTCTTCAACAGTAAGGGCCACACAGTTGTTTAGTGAGAGTTTGCTGTTCCTGGTGCTGTACCAAGTGAAGAAGCCTGTCCTGGCTCATCCTGCTGTCCTGCTTTTCAGTATAAACATGAAAAATGGAGGAAAAGCAGAGGTGAATAGATCTATGGAAAGGATTTAGAGCAGGTAATTGGTATGTGTAGACACCTTACATTTTATTTGTTTCTTCTCCCTAGTATTTTGGGCAAAAATGGTTTTGTTCACTTCCACTTTCTAACTGTTTGATCTGCAGAGTGGGATTGCCTCAATTTCCTTATCTGTAGAGTGGGATTAATCTACAGTGGAGATAATGAAAGTACTTACCTCTTAAGCTGTTGTGAAGATTAACTTAGATAATGTTCATAAGACAACACAGCACCTAGCGCAGTACACTCTTAATGAAGTTTAATTATCATTATCATCATCATACCACCCTGGAGGTTTGCTTTTGTCTTATTTTTTCTATTTCTCATAATTCTTTCTTCTCACTGGTTCCCATTAATATAATATTTTAAAATATTCAGTATTTTGAAATTATTTTTATGAGACCCTAAGATGTAGAAAACAATATATAAATACTTGTTTCTTGTTTGCATTAAAAAGGGTTGTAGCTCTAGGTATTCACTTTATAAGTTATATAAATGTCTAATCACTATGTTGTACACCTGAAACTAATGTAATATTGTATTTTATTATACTATAATTGAGGAGGAAAAGTTAGGAGCATTAAAAAATAATTGTACCCATTTCGATATTATTTTTAACCCCTGACACACATTAATTTGTTGCTTCCCCCAGAAAGGTGACAGAGTTTTCAGTACCGGCACGATCTCGGGGGGCTACGCAGAGTTTGCTGTTGCAGCCGATCACACTGTTTACACACTGCCAGAAAAACTGGACTTTAAACAAGGAGCTGCCATCGGTGTTCCGTATTTTACTGCTTACCGAGCTCTGCTCCACAGGTAACAACACCGTCAGTTATATAGCCAACAACAAAGGAGGGCATATTCATTGCTTTTCTTTCTACCATCTGTCTATCATTTTGGGGTACCATTTAGTTACCATTAAGCTTTTATGAAGTAGAAACTGCTAGTTTGGGAGATTGTTCTAATTACTGGAGATAAAAAGAAGAGCAAAGTACTGTCTTTGTGTTGAAGATGCTCAATGTAGGAAGGGAGGTAGACCTAAGAGTAATAACAGTTACGTACAATGTGGAAAGTACAGTGATAGAGACGTACATAGGGATCTATGGGATCACGAGAGATGTGCCTGTGGTGATGAGGCAGGGCTTCCTGGCCAGGTATATGGCTTAGATTATTTTAAAATCATGGTTCAGAAATCTTGTTATCCAACCATGAAAACTACTTGCTGCAGTTTCAAAAGTCCAGTATAGGCTGTACCCTAGACCCACTGGGCCAATTTTCATAGCTGGACTGTGAGACTCTATATTTTAATTAAATTCCTGGATTTGAAAAGGATCAGAGGGAATTAGCCTGGTGAAGGAGCTAGTGGGGAGAGGGCATTCTAGACAATGGGAATAGTTGGTGTGTGGGAAACACATGGTATCTGGGGAGAGCTATAGCAATTTGGTTTTGTTGGATAGAGGATTTTAGGGCAAAGAGTAAATAATCTCTCAATAAATGTTAGCTGTCATCACCACATACACAAGTTTCAGGTTGTGAAAGCTAGGTTATAGAGCTCACACACTGTTGTGTAAGGAGTTGGGGGCTCATGAAATGTTTTATTCTGGAGAGTGAAATTATCATATTTGTGTTTTATTGATATCGCATATCTGCTGTGTGAAGGATTTGACCACAGGAATGGAGAAGGCGATGGGAGGGTCTTATAGGAGTATCTTCTTGGCAGAATACTTCTGGGCCAGAGCAAGGGTCACGGAAGAAGAGGGGAGAGGAAAGGACAACTATTTAGAGGTAAAATCAAGAATATTTGGTGACTGCATGTGGAGAATGAGGTAAAGGGAGAGCTTAAGAATACTTCTAGCTTTCTAGCTTGACCAATGTTTAACTGTGACCAAAAAGTTTTGGACTGGAAACTAAGACACACATCTAATGGAGAAGTCTAGCAGGCTGTTGGATGAAAGAGTCGGAAGCTTGAAGACTGGAGGTATACATTTGGGGATATCAGCATGTGGGTGAGAGCCGACAAGATGATGGTGATTGAAATCCCTCAGGGAGTGAGAAGAACAGTTGAGTGGGAATAGAACCTTAGTGAACCTCAACATTTAAGGGTATAGCCAGAGGGAGGGGACAGAGTCCCAAGAGAACCAAAAGGAGTATATTCTAAGACTAAGACCAAGAGAGTTCAGAAGTCATGGTGTCCATTAAACATCTGTTGAATTCATGGGCTTTGAAGACAGTAAGACCTGGGTTGGAGTCCTGTCTTCACCTACTACTGCCTACATGACCTTGGTCAAGTTACTTCCCTGTCTTAGCTTCAGTTTACTGATTTGAAACATTAATAGCACCTTTTTCATAGGGGTGTGGCAAGAATGAAATGAAGTAATGCACACCTCTTAGTATAGAGCCTGGCACAGAGTGAGTACTCAACCAGTTGATAGTGTTAGGGGCTGCCGTTGATGTTGCTGCTAAGGAGGGAGGCGAGATGTCAAGTGCAGCAGTGAGGTGTGTTTAGAAATAGCAGCTGGGCTCAGCAATTGTGAGACCGTTGGTGACATAGTCAGATTGTGTTCACTGGAGTGGTGGGACAGAAGCTGATTGAGTGGGTTGAGGAAGGAAGAGGAAATCGAATCATTGGATGGAGACTACTCTTAAAAAGTAGAGGGAGACAGGCAGGAGGGAGTGGAAGAGTATTTGAGCCAAGTGTGGGAACAAAAGGGTGTTTTTTTAAGGAAGGACAGGACTTGAACATGTTTTAGATGAGAAAGGATCTAGCAGAGGGAATAGGGGACAACAATTTGAAGGCCAGGCCAAGTGCTCTAGACCCTGCTGTGAGCTGCAGGGGGAGGTGTGTGTGTGTGTGTGTTTCTCTCTCTCTTCCTCTCTATGAGAGAGAGAGAGAGAGAGAGAGATTGATTTTAAGGACTTGGTTCATGTGATTGTGGAGACTTGGTAAGTCTAAAAAAAAATAATAATCTGATAGGGTAGACCAGCAGGCTGGAGATTTAGGGAAGAGTTTCAGTTAAGTCCAAAAGCATTCTACTGGCAGAATTCCTTCTTGCTCCAGTCTTTTGTTCTATTAAGGCCTTCAGCTGACTAGATGAAGTCCATCTACATTATGGAAGGCAATCTGCTTTACTCAAAGGCTACTGATTTAAATGCTACTCTTATCCAAAAAACACCTTCACAGAAACATTCAGAATAACGTTTGACTAAAATCTGGCATCCTGGCCCAGCCAAGTTGACACATAAAATTAACCATCACAATGACTGCACAGGATCATCGCAGTGGGGATCCTGGAGAGGATTAACTTGCTTTTTCTCCACACATCTACAGGCCCGGGGATTTAGGAGAATGTGCTCATGGTGTTTGAGGGGTTGTTTATAAGATTTTTAAAAAAATTCATTGGGAAATATTTTATATCCCATAGTGTAACATTAGTAATCCTATTCTCTTACATTTGTAGTTTACCTTTTAAAATGCCCAAGTCTTTTAATAATAGTTATCGCAGTTTGTCATTTGAACACCCCCATTTAATTTACTGCCCTCAATCCCCTTATCTCCAAGCAAGAGGGTTGGGGAAAGCTTTATTTATGCTCATAACTGCCGTTTGTCAGCTGTTGGCACCCAGCCTTGAGCAGGACTCCAGGTTCCTGTGTTCTCACTCTCATTGAACATGAGGTCTGTGTGACCACCCCATATTGTTCTAGGAGGTCAGGGATCCTCTCTGAGAGTCAGATCTGGATCACACACCAGCTGCTGGCTTGTGTCATTAGCACTTGTCCATCTGGAGTAATAAAGGAGCCCTCTGCCTTGCTGCACGTACTGTGTTTTCAGTATATTAGAAAAGTAGTGGTATGGACCAGAAGGTAAACACAATATGTCACTTCACCACAGGACCTGGACATTTTAGGGGTGACATGGGAACCTCTGTGACAGGATTCCTATGCTCTTATCATTGCTGGCCCAGCATTACTTTCTGAAATGAGGGCTTATGGGCTGCTGCAGCCTGATATTTGAAGGCATGGAAAAGTGAAGATGTTTTCTTTTTTTATCCTCACCTCAGGACATTTTTTTTTTTTTTCCATTTTTTGTACAGATAGAGTGGGAGGGAGAGAGAGGAAGAGAGAGAGAGAGAGAAACATCGACGTGAAGGGACACATCGAGTGGCTGCCACCCGCACGACCAACCAGGGCCGGGGACAAACTGCAACCGAGGTACATGCCCTTAGCGGGAACCGAACCCGGGTCTCTCCGGACCACAGGCCGACGCTCTAACCACTGAGCCAAACCGGCCAGGGCAGAAGATGTTTTCTTAAGTAGTCTAGCTGTTACGTGTACTTGGGCAGTGCTGTCCTGGACCTGTTTTGAGAAGCTTCCTGTGGGAGTCAACGAGAAACTCCAGGGCCTCTAGCTTCAGCAGTTTCACTTGACGTGCCTGGGAGGACTGCAGCCTGTCAGAAGGGAGCACCGCGATGGGCCCTGCATCCAGCCCCGTGCTGCCCGTACAGGCTCCCAGTAAACATGTGTGGAATGAATAGATGAACTGAGGTTTTCTTTTACCTGTGGTTCTGAAGAATCATTGTTCGTTCCTCTTGGGTGAGTGTTAGCTGGACGGAGGGTGGGAGTTCCTGGAGAGGAGTCACAGCCACCTGCGCTCAGTGAGCTGGACAGTGAGGTGGTGAGCCTGTGCTTTCTTTTACAGTGCCCGCGTGAAAGCCGGAGAGAGTGTTCTGGTTCATGGGGCTAGTGGAGGGGTAAGTATCATTTTTAAGTTTATTTTTAAATAAGCTTTTATTTGTGGGTTTCACATTTAAGTCAGTTTTAAAAGCCAAATTTATAAATGTGGTCAAGGGTGTTTTTTTCCTCCATGTGGTAAAGCTGCTTTAAGTCCTACATCCTGAAGGTGATCCTTGTCATTTGTTGCGCGTTTCTTGGTTAATAAATTCACCAGACTACCCCATCGAAAATGTATCTCTATTAGGTTTTTCACCTGTGTCGAGTGTGGAGCAAGACAAACTGGCTTTGTTTTTGTCTTCAAGTGGCGTATGTTATAAGAATACGTATATAGAATTTTAGCAGCTCTTTAAGGTGGATATTAATTCCATATTCCCTTAGATAAGGAACTAAAGTTCAGTAAAGCTTTGCAGAGGTTGCCCCGCCAGCACTGCAAAGCCACGCTGAATTCTGTGTCCTTTCTGTCTCCCTTCCACGGCCCGCCTGCTGCGCTTTGGTGACCTTCACGAGTGCAGTGTACAGCTGTGTCCTTAACGCCACTACCCCTGGATTAAAATGCTAGTGGAGGGTGGGGGCAGCGGGGACTCAGAACCTATGAAGTGAGCCCCAGGGCTATCAGAATCCTCCTCCAGAAGCCTGCTGTCAGTCTGCCTTTGAGGAGCTTAGAGGAAAAGTTAGAGCTCTGAGGTCAGAATTTAACAAGGAATCCAGATGACCTCCATCCTGCAGGTAGAGGTTTTAGAAATTTTGGAGACAAGATTTAACGTAAAGGGCCTAGGGGCTGGAAGGCTCCCTGGAGGAACTGGCTGACTCTTTCCGAGCTACCGATTCTGGGTGGTAGATGGAAAGAAGTAACCTACGAAACGGCACATTGTCTCCAGAGTCAGAGTGGCGTCCTGAAAATCCTGAAAATCTGAGTGTACCTTTAAAGGTGGCCAGGTGATAAGAGAATTCAGCCCATTGTGTTTCCGTTACTTTAGATAGATGAATCGCAAGGTTTCACACCCAGCTTCAAATAGATCAGTTCTGAAGGATTTCACAGATCAGACTATTTGCTAAAAACACCACGATTGTCCCTATGGGCTTGAGAAAATATGACAAATACACCTTGTCAAGAACTGCCGTGGTTTAGCTTCACCGAAGAGGCTATTTTTGGGTTAAATCAAATTTAACCCTAAATAACTGAAGATTCTGTCAAACATTTTTATAAGATTTTTTAAAAAATTCATGGGGAAGTATTTTATGTCCCATAGTGTAACATTAGTGATCCTATTCTCTTACATTTGTAGTTTACCTTTTAAAATGCCCAAGTCTTTTAATAACAGTTATCGCAATTTGTCATTTGAAAACCCCCATTTAATTCACTCCCCTTATCTCCAAGCAAGAGGGTTGGGGAAAGCTTTATTTATGCTCACAACTGCCGTTTGTCAGCTGTTGGCTGACAAATATTTAAATTGCTCTGGCTTTTAGAAAGCTAACCTTGTACTCTGTGTAGGAGGGAGAAATTTTAATAGGAAGGGGAGAGAAAATCTCTTTCTATTTCCTTTACCCTCTTATAAGAAGCCCAGTCGCTTCACTAGGATTTTTTTTTAAAGCAGAACCCTCACTGTTCTCTGAGCTCCCCGAGTCTGTTGCCTCCCTGGCAGGCAGGGGCAGGCGGCGACCTGGTGTGCCCGGCGCTCCAGCGCCTCTGATCTCCTTCGCCCTGTCGGAGGGAAGCAGCCTGGGCTTTTCTTGCTTCTGTTTGTACTTTCTGTCCTCATTTAATTCACATGCCTTTGGGATTACGTTGTGTATTTAAACTGAGGTGGAACTTATGAACACAGCTTATTATCCAGATATGTTGGTGGGGAGTGCCCTCGTATAGTGTCAGCAAAATAAATAGGAGAAAAGTGGTAGGCACGGAATGGTATGTAATCTACTGAGGGAGTCTGGCTCGTATAACTGTTGACAAGGCTGGAATAAACAGTGCCTTTCAAACAGCTGTTGAGTACCCCTTTGAAGTAACTAGAGCCTGAGGAGATAGTGACATTAGCTCCTAGGTTAAAATGTGGTTTTATTAATGCCTTTTTTTTTTTTTTAACTGAAATTTTTCATTGAAAATTAAAGTAGTAAAAATCGATCATGCTAATAACCTCACAGTGTGTTGTATTTCATGGAATGGAGTGTCTCTGTCACTCCTCTGACAGTGAGTTCTACGTGTTTGTTTGTTTTGGTTAATTCAAACACGTTCCTGTCATAACCCAGCTGAGTTCAGGCTTATCATGCCCATACGCTGTACAGTTTTTAAGATCTGTCTCAGGCCTGGGAGTTTGTGATCTGTTACAAGTTTTATTAGATTCCATTATCCTTTTTCACTTTACTTTTTTTCTATCATGCCCAATCCACAATGATTTACCTTCCTCTAAATACATTGTTTTCAATAAGGGGTGATTTTGCATCCCCCTCCTCCTTGCTCAGGGACAGTTGGCAGTGTCTGGGGACATTTTTGGTTGTTTCATCTGGGTAGAGGGTTCTGGCATCTGGCGGGTAGCAGCCAGACGCTCTGCTAAGCATCTTTCAGTGCACAAGAGAGCCCCACAATGAAGAATTATCCAGCCCAAAATGTCAACAGTGCCAAGTTTGAGAAACGCCGCTCTGAATGTGTGACATTTATCTGTACCGTTCGCTTGGCATGTGATCAAACGTACATGGCCTAGTCTTGTAATTTAAATAATTGCTCATAGCTCTATTTCTAAAATATTTTTGTTTCTCCTTTATACTAAACACATTTTTTTTTTTCCTGGCAATCTAGATTTCATCTAATCCCGTAGCTTTAATTACCACCTGTAAACTGATAAACCTTAGATTTATGATTTACAACTCTAGAGTCTTTCGGGTCCATACCCATATTGAGCCGATTGCTGAATATCAGCAGTTAGGTGAGCAGTATACAGCTCAGCGCGTTCTAAGTGAATTCTTGAGGCTTTCACGAACGCGATCCCCTCTGATCTTCCTTATCCCATTAATCTGCCCACTCAATCTGTCCAAAGACCTGGGAGACAGCCTTGGTTTTTCTCTTTCCTCACGTCTGTCCCACAGTCTGTGAGGCAGGCCCTCCAGCTTGCCTCTGAACTGCACCTGAGCATGTTGTCATTTTCCCAGTGTGGCCGCCTCAGTCCAGGCCAGCTCACCTCTTATCTTGGCGATGACATCAGCTGCTCACTCTGTTTTTCGTGCAACCTTCTTTTTGCCTCTCATATAATTCGAGTGTTCTTTTAAAGCCTAAATCGGATCACCTTCTATTTAAGTTCTGTGGTCGTTGTGCATGGTTCTTTAATGTGATCCAGACCTTTACCCCCAAGTCTGTGTGTGCCTCGGCCTTTCTGTGCCCCTCGGACCTCTTCCACTCTCTCCACGTGCCCCTCAAGCCACATTTGCCCTCTTTCTCTTGAGCACCCCAAGATCATTCCCACTTCCCAGTTTAGCCGGGAGCCTTCTGCCTACAACAGTCTCCCTGTGGCTTCTCCCATCTTCATGTGGCATGTCCGTCACTGCATTCGGGTCCCATCTCTTCAGGACAGCTTTTCCCGATGACCTCCCTACCCCTCTCCCTCTCTCTTTCTAACCCAATGGGCTGTTATATTTTATTTATTTTTTATACTTTTTCTTTTCTGAGTTTACTTTGTTCATGTATTTGTTTCTGTGTATATCATCTTCCTTCTTTAGAATGTAAGTTTCTTGCATGAAGTACCTTGTCTAGCACATAGTAAACACTCAATAAATGTTTACCATTTCGATGAATAAATTATTTGCCCATGTGCTCTCTCTTCCATTTAAATGGTAGAGGACTTACATCTGTTATATAGTAGTGTTGTTTTGTTTGTTTGTTTTTAATCCTCACTCGAGGATATTTTTCCATTTATCTTCAGATAGAGTAGGAGGGAGAGAGGGTCAAAGAGAGAGACAAACATCGATGTGAGAGAGACACATTGATTGGTTGCCTCCCACACGACCCTGACCAGGGCCAGGGACAAACCGCAACCAAGGTTGTGCCCTTGGTTGGAATCAAACCCGGGACTCCTTGGTCTGTGTGCCGACGCTCTAACTGCTGAGCCAAACTGGCCAGGGCTGTATATTTTTATATGTATAGTTAAAGTATGGAGTCGGTGAACATATTTTGATCATCTCTAAACACCGTACTTTGCACAAAACAGATGCTAAGTAAGCATTTTGATGCAGTAGTTAAAAACTCAAGCTCTTCAGTCTGATTTGGTCCAGCTCCTGTTTCCATCTCTGGCAAATTACTTACATTTTATGTTTCTTTTTTTTTTTTTTTATCTCTAGAACAGGGACAGTAATCATATCTACTTCATAGGCATCTTGTGAAGATGAAGTAAAGTGATGCATAGAAATTATGTAGTGTGGAACCTGGCACATTATAAATGCTCAATAAAAGTTACCTATTATTCTTATTTTTTCATTTAGACTTGAAGTTCCATAATAATAGGGTGGGACTCAGAAGAACCTTGCATTCATTATATCTATATTTAATGTTTGCAAGGGTGCAAAGAATTTAAAACTATTGGGTTAAGAGAACAAATTGATGGTTGCCGTATACGAGGGGGTCAGGGCTTGGTGAAAAAGGTGAAGGGATTAAGAAGTACAAATTGATAGTTACAGAATAGTCATGGGCGTGTAAAGGGCAGCATAGGAATATAGTCGGTAATGTTGCAATAACTATGTAGGGTGCCAGATGGGTATTAGACTTATCGGGGGATCGCTTTGTAAATTACTATAACTGTCTTACCACTGTGCTGTACACCTGAAACTAATATAAAATAACACTGAATGTCAACTGTAATGGAAAAGTTTTAAAAACGTGCACCCTTCCCCTGACAAATAAATGAAACTCTTGGGTTATATTTTGTTTTTCAGGTGGGACTAGCAGCGTGCCAAATTGCTAGAGCTTATGGCTTAAAGGTTTTGGGCACAGCCGGCACCCAAGAAGGACAAAACATCGTTTTACAAAATGGAGCCCATGAAGTGTTTAATCACAGAGAGGTTAATTATATCGATAAAATTAAGGTAAATTGGTTCTATGGTTTTATAAAAGTAAAATTTTGTTTTTTGGGAGACTCACATTTTTTAATAAGTTCTTTTTAACCACTCTCTTAAACTCGTTTGCTTCTTTTTATTAATGCCTATGCTTTTTATGCCTATGTGTGTTTTACTGTTTTAATTTAAAAAGCAAAGCTGTCTAATTTTTAAACCTTCACTCTTATTTCCATCTTGTTTATGTTTACCAAATAAGATTTAGCCTCTGAAGTCTTACAGCTATAAAACTTTGTACTCTTTAATGCAAAGCACAATTTAAGTAAATCCACAGCTTTATATTTGCACCTGTGAGGTGTTATTAATCTAATTTCTATTGGTACAAATTTTCCATGGAAGGCAAGGTATTCTCAGATTGCAAACCGGATCTGTCTAGCCTCGGGAATAATGTTTGTTTGTTAACTGGATGCTTTGGAGGAATAAGCACTACTTCATCCAGAGCAGTGAGGTGGCATTTAATTAGTGTTCTACGTATTCTGTTGCTACAATAGCATCCGAGCAGATTCTGAGGTTCTCCATTTGTGCTCTAGTGGCAATTTACTAAACACTGATTACTTTGCTAATCCTCAAACTACTTGCTCATGTTGAGAAAGAATTAGAGTTTTCCAGGTACTGATTACTATGTAAACTAGGTCATTACAAACTAGGGAAAGGATGAGGGAGAGTTTGTTTATTACCACTAAATCATCTTGCCAAATACCTGCGTATGGGCACTCCTTTGTTATATGTCTAGGAAACCTGAAATTAATGGAGTATTCACTCCTGGTACCAGTTTCCAAGAGCACTTACAAAGATGAAAAATAGCCAGTTATTTTAAGAGTGTATTTTTGTTTTACCGTAATGTAATGTTAAGACCATGAGGTCTTGTAACTTTTGTCTCTTCTACTGGTTCCTTCTGCTCAGTCTCTCTCGTTCTCTCAAGACATTCTCTTAACCGTTTATCTCAACCCCCTCCTCCGCTCCTTTACCACAGACTTCTTGGAATAGTGAGTACTTACTGTTTTTTTTTTTTAAATCCTCATCTGATGGTATGTTTATTGATTTTAGAGAGAAAGGAAGTCCGGTGCGGGGGGGGGGGGGGGCAGAAAGAAGCATCAGTGTGAGAGAGAAACATGAATCGGTTGCCTTCTGCACGCACCCTGACCGGAGATCGAACCCACAATCCAGATATGTGCCCTGACTGGGAATCAAACCTGTAACTTTTCTGGTGCACGGGATGACACCCCAACCAACTGAGCCACCGGCCGGGGCGAGTACTTACTGTTTTCACTCCCTTGCCTCTCATCACCTCCTATTGCAGCTTTGCCTCCACCCCAACCTCTTCCACTGCTAATCAGAGGTCACTGACAGTCTGCTAATCTGAGGTCACCTCCTTACCAGTCGGCCCTAACTTCATTTCAGTCTCCTTCTTCTTCTATTACTCAAAGGTTGGTGTTCCTTTGGCTTTAACCTTGATCTCTCATCTTCTCTGCTGCTAGACCTTCATCCTGATCAATCTCACTTATGCCCCTGGCTTCAGTTAGGATCCATATAATATTGATTTCCAACACTATCTCGGCCTGATCAGCTTGCTGAACATGGCCATTCGTCTGGTCATCCAAGACAAAAACCCACCTTTCATTTTTTACTCCTATCTTGTAATCTCTGTTCTCCTCCTACCCATCGGGTTGGTCAGTTCATTCTGTCAGTTTCATGTCTGACTTGCCTTTCAGATGTATCACTTTTTCCCCGGTCCTTTCACCCCTGCGACTTAGTTTAGTCTTCAGCTTCTCCAGCCTCGACTATTACTCAGAGCTGAGCTAATTTGGCTTTTTATCTTCTTCATGATCTCCAGAGTCATTGGCTCTCTTTAGAAAGGAAAAAAAAAAAAAAAAAGGAGGGAAAAGGGTCACTAGAAATAACTAAAGTGGGAGCTCCACGAGGATAGGAATTTTTGCCTCTCTTGTTCTCTGCTGGACTTCCAGTGTCTTATACAGGGCCTGGAACAAAAGTTAACTGACAAACACCTGCCCCCAAAGTCCAAATCTTTCACACAACACTCAGTGTATTTCCACTGTTTGTGCTGAATTACTGTCTCCTCTCCTACCTCTTTCTTTCGCCTGCCCCTCACCTTCCCATATACATACTCCAGGTCCTCTGGGCTGCTTTCCAGTCCGGACTCAGTCCCCCACATCTTTGCTTTTCTGTTTCTTCTGTCCAGACTGCCTCTACCTCATGCCTAGCTTCCTCCTGCTCCTCCTTTTGGCCTAAGAAACTCCCTCAGGGCTAGGCATCATCTCTGTGGAACTTTCTATGAGCATTACAGCTGATCGGAGGTGTAACTCTCTCTTTCTTTACAACCTACAGTTTATTTCTTCTAATGTAGTACCTGGCCATTGCATTGCAGCCATGACTGTGTACTTTCCCCCTTTCTCCCTAGCTTTGTTTGAGCTCTCCATTTCTATCTTTGAATTCCCAGTACCTAGCACAATGCTGGACATAGCTATTCATTTTTCTTAAATAAAGTGAATGTAAGGTACATATATATAGCTTACTTAAGAGCTAGTTTTGGATGTCGGGAATAACATCTGAGAGCTCAAATAAAAGAAGTAGGTGCCAAGCTAATGGAACGTCGCTTAGACAAAACTGAGTGCACACACGGGAGTCCTGCAACTCCCGGAGGCGTTTATTTTTTATTTATTTCTCTATGAAAATACATTTTAAGGCTAGAAAATTTTCAACTAAGGCAAAAGCACTTTGTAGTCAAGTTGAGTCTAAGCACCTGAAAATTCTAAGCAAATTTTATTTTGTTATAGCAATTTATTTTGTATAAATCTTTATCATCCTAGATGATGTGGCTTGGACCTTGGAATTACATCGTCATTGTATAATTAGTTCATTTAAAATTTGCATTATTCGTCTTAAAATGGACATTTTATATAATTTGAAACACATTTCTGTAATATGTGGGGCAATGATAACTATTTTATAGTTTTTTAAATTTCTTATTAACTGTTTTTGCATTCTTTTATATTATATAGAAATCTGTTGGTGAAAAAGGAATTGATGTTATTATTGAAATGTTAGCTAACATAAATCTTAGTAATGATTTGAATCTTCTGTCATACGGAGGACGAGTAATAGTAAGTGTTTCCTTTTTTTTTTTTAACCACTTTGAAGTTGTATCATAATTTAGCTCTATTTTGCAGTGATCTTTAACTGTAGACATGTTGTTCTTCATAATAGGTTGTTGGCAGCAGAGGTCCCATTGAAATAAACCCACGCGACACCATGGTAAAGGAAACTAGTGTCATTGGAGTTGCTCTCTACTCATCAACCAAGGTAGGAAATAGGTGTTTCTGGTTTTGGTAACTTAAACACTGATGCAATTTGCCTATTCAAGAAGACTGACAATTTCAGTAGATGTGAAACGTAGTTATCTGACTATATGTGTGCATTAAGGATTAGTTACCAGATAATAACTAGGGCAGCAATGTCATTTATTTTCCAAGTCAGGGCACTTTTGAGAGAGAAAGAAGAAACTGTTAGTCATTATTTCAGGACAATAAGTATTTTGTAATCTGATACTGTCTCAAACAAATTTGACTTACGGTTACCCGATAGGGGGCTCCTTTTTCTATAGTTCTGGACAAGCTGACAAAAGCCACACATTTATAAGAAATTATTGATGCTTTCTTAGATTCTGAAAATATTTAATGCTTCTGAAAATCAACTCCTGTGGTCCTCTACAAAAAAAAAAAATCTTTCTTTCTCACTTAGGAGGAATTTCGGCAGTTTGCAGCAGCCCTTCAAGCTGGAATGGAGGTTGGTTGGTTGAGACCTGTCATAGGTCCTCAGTATCCATTGGAGAAGGTGGCGCAGGCTCATGAAGATATCATTCACAGCAGTGGGGCTACTGGAAAGATGGTTCTTCTCACGTCATGATCAGTTCTTTCGTGTATTTCCTATGCAGTTAGAGGTTTCTCACCCCAGTTTTACGTACACTATCTTTGCTTTAATTGGCATTCATTTGATTCAGTGAGTTTCTTATATTAAAAAACAAAATGTGTCCTTAGAGATCTTGGGCATCAGAGTGTAATTCATGTTATAGCGGGCAATGTTCTCCATGCCTTCTGCCTGTAATCAAGCAGTCATAGCAGGAAGTAGAATGTTGTGGTAATTTGCATTGGGGTGCATTTTAGAAATTCCTGATACTTGATCATTAATTTCATACCTTTGACTAAAACATGCTAATTAAAAATAAGACTGCTTGCCCAGGCCGGTTTGGCTTAGCGGTTAGAGCATCAGCCTGTGGTCCAGAGAGACCCGTGTTCGGTTCCTGCTAAGGGCACGAACCTTGGTTGCAGTTTGTCCCTGGCCCTGGTGGGGTCATGCGGAAGGCAGCCACTCATTATGTCCCTTTCACATCGATGTTTCTCTATCTCTTCTTCTTCCTCTCTCTCCTTCCCACTCTATCTGACCAAAAAATGGAAAAATGTCCTCGAGTGAGGATAAAAAAAAAAAAAAAAAAAGACTTCTTGCCAGCCGGTGTGGCTCAGTGGTTGAGCGTCGACCCATGCAGCAAGAGGTCGTCAGTTAAATTCCCGGTCAGAGCACATGCCCAGGTTGTGGGCCTGGTCCCCAGTGGGGGGCATGCAGGAGGTGGCCAATCAGTGTTCTCTCTCATCGATGTTTCTTTTGTTTTTGACGTTTCTATCTCTCTTTCCCTCTCTCTTCCTTTCTTTCTAAAATCAATAAAGAAAAAATATTAAAAAAAAAAAAAAAGACTGCTTGATTTCCAAGCCCACGTCTCCATACAGAGTTTTTTCCATCTCTGCTTAGCCCAGAACTGTATTGGACTATGCAGATTTTCTGGACTAACCAAGGCCTCTTGTCTAAGCTCACTTTATCTGGATCCGCAAGTCTCTTGGAAGGGCAAGGTAAGCAGTGTGTGTTAGTTTTCCATGTTTATCTAAATACTAGGACATTTACTGTGTTCATGGTAGATTACCCGTGATTCGTATATTCTGTGAGGACAGCAGCCTTTTATTATTATTATTATTATACAACACTAGGTGCATACATAATCTCCAGGTGGATTCTTCACTGACTTGATTTCAAATTAGATTTAGAATGATCTGTTTGTGTGATGGGTGTCATATACTTTTAAAAATAAATAAACAAATTTGACACATTAGGAATGATCTGCTTTTGTTTTCCTAACATGGTAACCAGCAATGATTCTACAAGAAATTAAAAACTGCTTATGTCATTTGTCTTCATACGGTACTTGCCTTACTTCGCCTTTACATAACTGCCCGCGGTCACGTCGTAGCAGTGCTCTGTGCTGGAGGTGTCAACGCAGCTACGTACAGGGGTGATGGCTTAGAAAGCTTGCCATCAGCACTTCGTCCAAGGAAATGAGGCCTGATGGTTCGTTCGTTCTTGTTTGTCTTCATGTGAACAGTGTTCTGTCTGTGGCAGCACTGTTAGGTTGGTCCTGTGGGCCTGATTTGTTCTGTTGGATGGCAGTCATGTTCCTGGTGTGAACATGGGATTCTGCTTTAATGGGGAACAGGAAGCGCTGCTCACTCCTGTACTTGAGGACTGTCATTGGCTCTGGCAGTATGTGCCATGGCCGAAGTGTTTTGCTACTAGCATTTTCCAAGTCCATTCGCTATTTCTTTTATAGTGACGTGTTAGAAAAAAGTTCTAAAGAACCAATCTCCCCCGGCTGGGTGGCTCGGTTGGTTGGAGCATCATCCTGTACACCAAAAGGTTACAGGTTCGATTCCTAGTCAGGGTACATACCTAGGTTGCAGGTTCAGTCCCCGGACTAGGTGTGTACAGGAGGCAACCAAGTGATGTTTCTCTCTCCTACTTCCTCTCTCTTTAAAATTAATAATAATAATAATTTAAAAAAAACAGCCCTGGCTAGAGTTGTTCAGTGGTTAGAGCATCGGCCCACTGAAAGGTCGAAAGCTCGATTCCCGGTCAAGGGCAAGTACCTGGGTTGCAGGTGTGGGAGGCAACCAATCAGTGTGTCTCTTTCACATTGATGTTTCTCTCTCTCCTTCCCTCCCGCCCTCCTTCCCTTCTGCTCTCTGAAAAATTAATGGAAAAAATATCTTCAGGTGAAGATTAACAAAAATAAATAAAACAAATATCCTCGGTGAGGATTAAAAAATACACCATGTCATGATTCTAGAAACTAGCATCATTGAAATGAAATGAAAGATTCCTTCCCATGTAAAAAAATAAAAGAATCTTTTTTGGTGCTCCAGTGGGGCGGCCTGGCTTTCAGCCCCTTTGGGCCCCTCTGTGGGCCCCTCCTGTCAGGCCAGAGCTATAACACTATAGCCTTGTGGGCAGCTTGGAATCAAGGACCCCAAGGCACCTGGAAATTTGCCTACACCCCCTGGCTCCTCTGGACTACAAGGATCAGGGTGCCTGGCAGTCTCAGAGCTTGTAGAAGTGACTTTTCTTCATCTCGCTCTGTCTCTTGTGTAAGTCTGCCTTTTACAGAATACTTCCCCCTCATCTATAGTCAGCTGAAGCATGCTGCTGACTTAACACTTCGCAATCCCTTGATACAGTTCAAATAATAGCCAAACTCTATGTATTAACTACCACGTTTATGATTAGGTAGCACTGGACCTGTTCCTATATGACTCTCCTTGTAGATAGTTCTCTTCTAGTCCCAGTTCTCATCCCCTTACCACACTGTCGGTGCCAATAGCCTCAGGACACTGCACCAGTCGCCAGTGCTGTGCCCCTGCGACAAGGTGGAGGATGCCCTGTGGGATCCACAAGGACTGCATCCTGTCCCAGCCCACACAGTGGAGGATGCCCTGTGGGATCCACAGGACTGCATCCTGTCCCAACCCACACAGTGGAGGATGCCCTGTGGGATCCACAAGGACTGCATCCTGTCCCAGCCCACACAGTGGAGGATGCCCTGTGGGATCCACAGGACTGCATCCCGTCCCAACCCACACAGTGGAGGATGCCCTGTGGGATCCACAGGACTGCATCCTGTCCCAACCCACACAGTGGAGGATGCCCTGTGGGATCCACAAGGACTGCATCCTGTCCCAGCCCACACAGTGGAGGATGCCCTGTGGATCCACAGGACTGCATCCCGTCCCAGCCCACACAGTGGAGGATGCCCTGTGGGATCCACAGGACTGCATCCTGTCCCAGCCCACACAGTGGAGGATGCCCTGTGGGATCCACAGGACTGCATCCCGTCCCAGCCCACACAGTGGAGGATGCCCTGTGGGATCCACAAGGACTGCATCCTGTCTCAACCATCTGAACTTCTGTTCCTGTTTGCTTTGGCCTTAGAATCATACAGTGGGTTATAGGTTAATAGATCAGTCACCCTGAGCTTAGGAAGGTGAAACAACATGTCAAAGTTCACATGACCAGCATATTCAAACAGCCAACATTTTTAGTAGGCTTTGGATATAAAACCTAGATTTCAATGTCCAGGCCTTTGGCTTTCTGGGCTTGCTGTAACTCTGGTGACTGCAGGGAGCTGCCTGCTTTTGAGTCTCATTTTGCCTGAGATTCCTAGTTTCTGACCCTCTCATAGTCATCCCCGCCTTGGTTGTCACTTGTCTCCTGATTTAACTTTATGAAGGAATTATTCTGTTCTTCCATTAGTTCAGAATATTTATTGAGTACTTAAGAGTCTGAGTAGACATTGTGCTCGAGTTTGAGGACAGAAAGATGTATGTGACATAGTCCACATCCTTGAACTTACAGTTGTGTATGGACAAGAGCCAAGAAAAATACTTTATTTAGAGTACTGCACACACACACACACACACACACACACACACACACATATCACACACATATATTGCACACATATAATATACCACACACATTACATACACATATATTACACATCACACACACACACTATATATATATGCAAGTAGAAGTAGATTTTTTATGCAGTTATGGGGGCTGACATGTCTAAATCGGTGGAGCAGGCCAGCAGCATTTCTGTGTTTCAGTATTAAGGCAGAATTCTTTCTCTGGGCAACCTCATTTTTTGTTCTTAAGACTTCCGACTGATTGAGGCCCACCTGCATTTTTGCAGGTAATCTACTATAAGTCATCTACCGGGTGATTATTTCTAAACATAAAACTAACCATCACGGAGGGTGACCTGGGGACACAGAGGTGGGGCCCTTAGTGTGGCTTGGGATTTCGATTATACATTTAATATTTATGATGCCTTTGTTAGCTCCCTCTGTCCATAGTACAGCTGGCCATAGAACTGCAGAATAATTTGGATGCTTCCAAAAGGGAAGAAAACAATCAGGTAGCACTTTATAATATCCTTAGCTCAGCTTTATCGAGACAAGGAATTATATGTGTGCCAAGGGGTTTCCACAATTTACAGTGTAAAAAGCTTTTTTTTTTCTGTTCAAGTTAATTCTCAAGAACAGCAAAACCTATCAGGTCACTTCGGCCTAACTCAGTGTCCTCAACCACATCTTACAGACAGGAAAACACCTCAGCTCAATCCTTAATTCTCTTTCCAATAGTACTGTTTTTTAGTATAGTGAGTATAGAATCACTGTACTAAAGTGTCATTTGAAAATGGTCAGAAGAGAATTTTACTAACCCACAGAGCTTCAGGAATAGCTCATATTGTAGGAACTTCCTCTATTCAAAGAAAGAGTCTAGGAAATGTTCTATAATCAAAACAAATCTGGAATAACTTTGCTCTATGTCAGTGACCACTGACAGGTATTGATGGGGACACTACTGGTACTTTAAGAGCGAGTCTACCACTGAGCCCAAACTAAATGCATGATACAGATGCTCATTAAAGTGTGTTAATATGGCTTCAGATTAATAGTCCTTCATTTGTTCTTTCCCAGCTTCATGTAAAATTAGCCACCAAGACTGCAACCTTACTAGAAACTGAAGATAAGAGGAAACCCTGTGCCAGAATCCATTGGAAATTTATACCAAGTCCACTGTCAATCATGTGATACAATGACCCCAAATAGCTGCAAGGTAGGTAGGAAAAATGCCTCAACTCAATTGCTGCTTCTAACTCAGGACCCAGGAGCTGCCTACAAAATCAAACCCCTCATTGCCCAGAAATGGTTGAGCTGGCTGGAGATTTATGCCCATCCCTCAGAATCCCTCAACTTCTGGCTTTCTCTTGCATTTTACAGACTACAGGCTTCAATTTTTGTTGCAACTGGAGAATCAAGAGGCAGGTGCACTTTGTACCCTTGGATGTACAGTCACACAGAGAAAGCCTTGCAA